CCCCCCCCCCCCCCCCCCCCACGCTCTTTTGTCCTGTGAACCCTTAAAAAAAAATCCTCTTTTTTTTTTCCTGCATACCTCTTAATTCGAAGGATCAGCTGGTCTCTCAACAAGATCGATCAACTTCTCCCGACAGGAGTCAGGGTAAGGAGGACCCTCTACCTCTAAGGAACAAATTGGATTCATGATGACAACTAGATTCTACTGTTTGGGTTGGTGAAATCTGGTTGTCTACAAATTCGTGTGGAGGTGTTGAAGCTTGACAGTGCTTGGACTGAATGTGGAGCTGTGACAGGGAATTGAAGCAGCTGTATCAGGACTGTGATCTTCCTGGCAACACTCATGAATGGTGGGAATAATCTGGAGAAGCTGTGAGCTCGACTTTTGGAGTAAAGGATCAATTAGGCTGTTTTGGAGTTTCCATCAGAGAATATGAATATGTACAGCAAGACAGGCAGAAACAACAATTCACGAGTTCTGCCTGACCCAAACTGTGGCCTTGACCCTGGGCTTATCTCAACTCCTCCTGGAATGTTTTGAAAACAACAAAGATGCTTTGACTGTTTCCTCACCCCTCCCTTCCCCAAGGCCGTGGACATGTAACAGAACCTCAACTGAGCTGAAGATGAACGTCACCTCTTATCTGGACTATGCTACGACTTTCCCTTAAAAATTCAATGTTTTCACCGCCTATATGTAAATGTATAACGTCTGTTTATGTTGCTTTGCTGTGGTAGGTTTTTTTGATGCCTCAAATTGTGCCCTGTCTAGGACACGGTGTGAGAGATCTTTTTTTTTTTATACCATCTCTCCTCATGTTTTCTTTCCTTTTCTCATCTAAGCAAAATATTATTCTGAATAAGAATAAGAAGGTCGCGCTAATTATTTATAGCCGCAGCTTCGTGCACTCCGCCCATCTTCGGACGACTGTACGTACATATTTGTGTTGTATCTTGGTGCAATGCCAATAAAGTTTATTCTGATTCTGATATATATATATATATATATATATATATATGTATATATATGTATGTCGGACAGGCGCTGCCATTTTGTAGTTTTCGTTCAATAAGCATAAACTATAACGTCAGGCAAAATAACTACTCTACCCAGAAGCCAATGGTGCTTCCAGCCGCTGTTTTCTGCCAAAATGGAGGGATAGTTTTGCAACGTAAAGTCAGAAGTAACGAACTGTCTATTAAGCTCACAGAACTGGCAGGAAAGTCGCAAATAATCCTGAAGCTTCCTGAAGCTCAGTTAAACACGTGCACATCAACCTGGACGGGGCGGTGGGCTTCGTTGCTGCAGGGTAGGTCTTCAGAACCAGAATTGAGCCTGATCGGAACCGAGCTGCTGGTCTGCAGAGCTGGTGAGTAAAATTTTGCAGTATGTACAGTACATATATGCATGTTGTTAAAATTACATAGGTTTAAGAGTTTAGAACATTTCCTATCTTGTCAGTGATGATCAGTCAAGGAGCACGGAGTTTGGAGAAAGAGGCTAGACTAATGTCCAGGCTATGCTAATGTCCAGGCTAGGCTAATGTCCAGGCTAGGCTAATGCCAGGCTAGGCTAATGTCCAGGCTAGGCTAATGTCTAGCCAAATGAGGGCCCAATGTTCATAGTTTTTCAGGCTCAATACAACTCCTTCTTTAAGACGACATACAAGTGATAAAGGAGTTGCTTTGTAAGCCTGAAAAACAATTAAACTGTGGGGCTGCTTGTTTGGCTAGCCATTAGCCTAACCTAGATGAAGACTTATGCCTGTTTCTCCATACTCTGGGCTGTATGACTGATGTCACAACTAATAAGGTACTAACTATAATTAATTGGCAGAACATCCCTTCAACAATGACTAGACTTCTCCTTTAAAGCCCAAAATCGATTTCACTTTCATGTCAGTGAAAACATAAAGACAACATCCAAATGACACGGAGTAGACTCTATAGATATTAACGTTGCTTTACATCATAACAAAATCCAGTCTGCTAACAAACTGTGCTTGTCAGCTCTCACCAGTGAGGCTGTTTTTTTTTTTCCTATGGGTCTTAATGGTTAAATGGTCGCTGGTTCTTTGAGGTTTTAGTGGCTTTAGTGGGTTTTTAATGGTGTTAATGGTCTGAAATGTGATCCAAGGGAGACAGTCGATGTGGGGGCTCAGACAATGAGCTCCTACTGAGCTCCCCACAGTGAGAGTGCATAAGAGAGGCAGCGATACAGAGAAACTGTGAGTCAGTAAATGTACGGTAAGCATATGTGTGAGTGTATGTGTGTAATGATGGATAGAAAGTAGTCCAAACATATTGTGAAAGTTGTGAGTCAACCATTACAGGGCACTTTAAGAATACTACACTCATCGTTCCCAGGATTTACCAGCTGCAATCGTTTTCTTAAAGTCTGCATATAAATTAATATTAAAGCATTAAAAAAAGCTTTCAGTTGCATAGAGACAGTTTAGAGATGTATTTTTCTTTCTGTCCTTCACACTGTATCCACCCATCTACACAAAGAGACGCCTTCCAATGGCTACAGTCATTGTTTGCATGCTCTGGTAAAATGGTTAAGTGCTATCATAAAACCATAACTCAGGGATGAGAGCAACTAATCCCTGAAGAACATGAACACTTTTGGAGTCCCTCAATGACATAAATAATGAATGAATATCAATAGAAGAGTAGAGTATGTTACTCAGAAAGGCAGAATTGGAAATACCAGCAGAATTGTGTCAGCATTAGATGAGTTTTGTGTGTGAAATTGTTCTTTTTCCAGAGAAGGGACTGCTGACAATCTCAAATAAAAAGAAATGACGATAACTTCTGTGGTCGAAGCATGCGTTTGACCAAGTTTAATAATTAAGTGGAAGTGCCGAATGAAGACCAACCTGTCTGGACCACATTGTTCTCAACTAGTAATATACAGTAAATCAAGGCGATTAGATACCCTGCAAAGCTCTTTTCTTAAAGATGAGTGGCGCTGGCTCACTTTCTAAAGCCTTTCTTAAAGAATGGAGCTAAATAACTACCATAGATCCAACTAGCATTTTTGAAAGGACATGTTTCTAGAAAAAAGTTTTGATGCTAAAACACATTTGACTGTTGTACATGATGATTGATTGTTTTGGATGGGTATGTTTCACACGTGTTAAACGTCTACTTTTGAGATTCCAACAGGAGGTTGGCTTGAAACACAGCAGTGAAGACTACTTATGGGACAGATCTGGTTGGCAGGCAGTAGACTGAGGAAGTCCTCTGGATGGGGGATGAAATGTTTCTCACTTAAAGAAACTGGTCCAGATGACACAATTTAACCTTTTTTGTTGTTAACATGTTTTTAGGTTTTGATTCTTCAATTCCAGTGAAAAGGATTTAAATTCTATCTAGTGCCTTTAAAAAAAGTGCACCTTTTTCATTTTGTTCATTTCTGTTAACTAAAAGTAGTGCTGTAGCTGGAAGATTAAATAATTTTTTTTATGTTTACGATGCTGTCAACATAGTTAGGAAAACTAAAGAATCATTACTTTCACTCTTGTACAAAGCAACTACGCTGAAAGAGACGTTTTAAAGGCTACAAAGATGTGCACTGGTTTAAGCAGACTGATAAGAGAAGTCTTTGTCATACAGCTATAAAATGAACACAGGTAGTGCAGACTCTTTTTAACAGCCTTGTACTTAAGCCTATAATAACATGCAAATTTATTCTGATCATGCAGGGGGGCTGACTAGTTTACATGTTCAATGTCCATTTAATCCACATTGCGCAGCTCTGTGCACCGACCACAAGACGTGGCCCTGAAAACCTCCTCAGGGGAATAAAACTGATAGAATTCCAATATGTTCACTCCAGAACTGCATAAACGCAGGTCTTCATTTGCTTCCTCAAAGAAATACAGTGGTTATATTACCAAGTCCCACATTACTGACCGTATGAACTATAACTAAATAGATTGCACATAAAAGCACCCACAGCTAACCACAGAAGCATGGTCAACGTTAATGGTGCGCCTTTTAGACTTGAGGCCAACATACAAGCATAAGAAAGAAAGAAATCATCCAGGATTTTTTTTAACCAGGACAGTTTACGCACGTGAACCTTTGACTATCAGATGTGAAGAGTTTGGTGTTTTTCAGTTAACACCTGGCATGAAAATACATGTCAAGTGATCTATCTTCACACAAAATGAAGGTGATCCCCACTGCTTCACCACACACACTCAGCTGAAGTGAAAACACCAGGACAGTGTAGTAAAATGTCCGATTCCCTCCATGTTCAACATGCTGCACATGTCCCAAATGATTCTGACAGTTTTACAGACATGTTGGAAATGCAATGAGTGCACATTCTAACCAACATTTCCAGTGGCCATGATTTAGAAGCAATATGGGAAAAAACTAAATAATTAGTATTTAGGGGTTCTGAGTGAGCACATCTCTGTTGACTAAAGATATGCAAACCGAGACTAAAATGTTCAGATTTACTCCAAGTGTAAAGAAATACAGACAAGTCTGGAAAACAATTTTCCTGGAAGATTGATTCATTAACTTTGACCAATATGACAAAAAATATGTAAAATCCCCATTAGGTTCTGTGTTTGTTTAAAATACACAATTTAAGAACACAAGGCTTTCATTGAGAGTTGAGCTCAGGACCAACTGGATGAACTTTAGCTTTGTTCAGTGTTGAATCGGGTAGCTGTTGAAATTAGAACCGACGAGCTGTGAGGTGGTGCGTGAATGCACCATTCTGTGTATCTGAACATCTATTTACACAAAATAAATTAGGGAAATTGTTTCTTACTTGGAGGAACTCCAGGTAAGTAGGTGGTGATTTGTCTTGGCTCTGAATACATTTACTTGTGTAAATAAATCTGACTGTGTGTAATTCAGACCATCACTGAATGCAGTTTGAGGAAACGTCAATAATACTTTTTATATTAAAAAAGAAAATACAGTAGTGCCTCGCTACTTCACGGTTCGTTCATCACGGACTCGCTCTATCGCGGTTTTTCAAAATAAGATTGGACATGACACACAATTGGCTGATTGATGGATGAGCCACTCGATTGGCATGGAATTTTGATCTAAAATGAATTATTTTAAATTATTTAGCACCTGATGCATCTTTGTGCACCCCAGAGCTACAGAAAAAGCGTCCTCCTGCACCTTTGTGTAGCTCTTACTGCTGCAGGATAAGCTTACTGCTGCAGCTGATCAGCATTTTCTCCATGCAGTGGGGAAGTGGGCGTGGCCACGAGCGTTTGCAGGTGGCTGAGTGCAGCGTGGCAGCGAGGAGGCAGAGAGGTGCTCTTTTAGGGCATTTAGAAACATTGTTTAGAATATTGCAAGAGTGTGGGAAGGGTTTAAAACACCTTAATATATGTACATATAAATACTAAACTACTACTTACTACTTGTACTACTATTCCTACTTCACAGTTTTCCACTTATCGCAGGGCTTCAGGACACGGATCCCCCATGATAAAAGAGGGACTACTGTATGTATAAATATCAGTAGATCTTATTCCTGAGCTGCAGCGGTGGGCACAATTCACTAATCTGCTAATAGGGGAACTGATTTTTTTGTTTAGTGAATTAGCGTTTTTGCTAACTTTAAAAAACCGTTATCAGAATTAGTTTCTGCAAAATTAGGTTTGGCCAACTTTAAGTCTGCTAACAAAATTCACAAACTTGTTCCTGTTGTGGGCGTGTCTCAAAGAGTCTGTTGGGCCCGCTATTGGCTTACTAAGTGTACACATGACAAGAGGTGATTATACGTGCAACATAGATGGCACAACAGACATTTCAGCGGCTTCCACTATTTTTTTTTATTTTTTACCTGTTTGGTTAGCTTTGCCCACCACTGCTGAGATCTAATGCTTGCTCAGAAAATCTCCAAGCACCTGGCTGAATTGTGTGTAAAGGCACAAGTGTTTTACTTTAGTAATGTTGGGCTTTTATTGTTTTATTGTTGTATTTACGGGTAAATGTTCATTGTTGTTTTCATTTATTTATTTATTTTTCATTCTTGTTCAGAACGTGTGTGTTTTGAATTTTTGTGTTTAACTTTGTTTTTATCAGTGCTCAGCACTTTGGCCAGTTGTGTTGTTTTTAATAGTGCATTATAAATAAAGTTGTATTGTTGTTAAAATTAGTTTCTGATACAGACCTGACTGATTTTGTCTGGGTCCCAATGATATCACTCTCTAAATCCAGCAGATGTTGGTGATTATGGAGCCCTGTCAACCTCTTCAGCCTCAGCATGGCTATGCAGAACTGAGCTCCCATCTCCTCCAACTCCCTGGTGCCGATTTGAAGCCCCTGAAAAGAACACGCACATGCAAAAGAATCAACGCACGTACTTGTTCACCAAAAATAACTTGCACACAAAATGCAGTCCAGAAAATTGCACGTGCTTTTAAGATACATTTCAAAAATGCTGCTTCAAACTGAAACCTAAATACTGTGAGATTTTATAGCTTGTCCTCATCCAGATGATGGAATCACTGTCCATTTACAAAAAGCTCAATTCTCAATGACACAAAGCATTAGTTGAAGAAAATCCTTTATGTAAAAACATTACTTCTCAGAAAACACATGTTCAAACACAAATGCACACACAGCTGCAATAGGAAAAACTGTCCAATGAAGACCTTCTACCGTACACTACGCCGACCTCTAGCTCACCCCCCCCAAAGAATAATGTTTCTTATTCCTCAGAGCAGAACTAAAAACATCTGAACTTGGCTTAGCCAAATAAAATGCATATATATATGCAGCCAGAGTTCAGTGGACAATAGGTCATGCACATCCTGCCAAATATTTTCACATAGAATGAGGGGGACCTCCTGAACTGTAAATATAATAAATATTGACTTTGGCTAAATTCAGTGGGAAAATAAATCAGCTGGGATGGAAGACAGAGGGAGAAAAGAAAATGGACAGGAACAAATCAGGACGTAGTAAAAATAAAAAATAAAAAATAAACAAATGGACCTAGAGTGCCACCTGGTGGACAAAACGAAATCTACAAGGATAACTCCTCCCAAGATTCTCTTTTAAGTTGTAATAAAGTCAGTTTATTGCTTTTACCTAAGAAACTGGTGGAAAATGAACTTGATTTGTTTATGCTCTTTTCACATAATTTATTATTCATTATTATTTATTTGTACAAATATTTCTCTATTTACAAAAAAAACCTGGTAAAGAGCATTTTTATTTATATGGTTTTAGTAGTAAAATGCACTATATAAGTATTCTTTGTCCATTAAAAAAAAAACCTATTCTGAACACCTACCTTATATTTGCCCTGGTCACAGCCACAGAGGGTGCTCTCCATTGTGTAACTGCGCTGAACTCCAATCTCCCTCCATACCACCACACGGGCAGTCGACTCTTTAGAGCGCTCGACAACAAAACTGGAGCTCGCCATGCTGAAGGCCGGGGCGATTTGGGACAAGATCTTCGGAAGCGTCTAAGAAAATATGAAAGTTTGTAAATGTTATTGTGTTAGTGAGTTTGTCTGGGTTAGTGTTTTTCCCCTAGATCAGCAGGCTTTAAAAAAAGCAAACAAATAGCTGTGAAGTCATTTTTCCTGAATGTTTAAAGCTACATTTAATAATAATTTCTGCTTGATACATTTGTTCACTATTAGCTAGTGTTCTGTTTTACTTTGGCAGAACTAAACATGAATTTATTTATTTTTGTTAATTTTTTACTTTTTTGTTTTGTTTGTTTTTGGGATTTTTTGGTCTGCTCCCCCCATTTCTTCACAGAATCCAATCCAGAAAAAAGTGAGAGACACTAGAATGTGATTTCTATTTAAAGCAGATAAAATATGAGCAGACTGGCAGAATATCTTTAATGAAATACAGTAAGAGTTGCCAGATAGAGGATTATCAGATGGTAAGATTATGTGCCTATTTATTACTTTTATTGCATTACTAGCATAGTTTGTGCATCGTGTGTGCGTGTTTACTCTGTATCCAAGATCCTCCTGTAAATCACTTGAGCTTGCACTAATGTTGGACTGCCACACGGTCTCCTTAACGCTGCAGCCATACATGAACACGTTCTTCTTCCTAGAATGGCCATGGTAGTCGCAGAACACCTGCACACAAACACACAAATAGAAGAGAAGCAGAGGAAATGATCATGTATACAGGTCTTTTGTATATTTTTTCTAAAAATTCTGTGCAGTTTTAGAAGTAAAAAAACAACAACAAAAAAGCAATATCAAATAAAACAATTAAAAAAGGGAGATTTATTATCAAAACAAAAAAGTTATTATTGTCAATAAAAGCCAATAACTGATGTCTTCCATATTTTACATAGTAAACAAATCTCCCTTAAAGACATCCCTCTTTCTCCAACCTGCTGACACAAAGTGCAGCACAGAGGCCAGCGGAGGGTGTTGTTTGTGGTGAATGCATTAACGTCATAAAACACTCATTGATTTTTAAATACTGTGGGCATGCAGCCCAAAAGGAAGTACAGCTGATCAGGAGGAACTGACACCAGAATAAGGAGGTTAATGAAAAATGATGCTGCAAAGTGGAAAAAAAAAGATGCCCGCAAAGTAATTCAGGCGCAGTTAATTAAGAGTCATACCAGTGGTGCCTTTTGTGTGTATGCAAGATACTGCAGCAGGCTCTTAGTATGGTAGATGGTGGGGTGGAGCTCAGGATTGGGGTTCTGCCACTGGCGATTCAAATCCTCTCCACTCAGAGAACAACGATGACTACAGCAGAAAGGAGACGGCAGAAGGGAAGGACACAGAGTGGAGGATAAACTAAGCAGCAGCTAGAGAACCCACCAGACAAGAGTTCATGTGTGTTAATGTACATGAAGCTGTGACCAGTGTGCAGGCCCAGATCCAGTAGATACATGAATCGTTCCACCACCTTTAACTTACTTGCCATTGATAACTCCATCAGGGTTGAGCATGGGAACTATTTTGAAGATGTAGGCCTCTCTGAGGCTGGCTGCCAGTGGGCTGGACCCCATCAGGAACTCCAGCGTGCCCTTCATTACCCAGCTGGCATTGGTCTCTCCAGGGTGCACTCTGGCCGACAAGAAGATCAATGGGCGATTCCCTAAAGAGGGAAAAAAGAGAAAAGGCAAACAATAAATGTGTACCAAAAAATAAATAAAACAGCTGAAAAATAAGAAAAATAAACAATATTGGCTAAAAAAAATATTTGTCACATAAAACAAAATCTGACTGCTAAAGGCTACTCTTATGTAGCATTATTTATCCAGGTGGTTGTAGACTATTACAAAGAAGGGAGCATTTCTGTCATGTCTTTAAACAACTCATAAAAGCTTTAACTAAGAACAAACTACAAGAACAAAATATCCAAAATCCATCAAAGTCTTTGCCAGAAAAAGCTCCATTGATTGGATTTTTATCAGTCAGAGATTCTTTATCGTCATTCGCACCACATGTGGTACATGAGGTGGAGCGAAATTATATACACAGGGTCCCAGTTACATCCAACAATAAAATGTATAAGAAAAACAGTAATAACATCTAAGATATGAACTAAGAAAAACATCAACCAAAAATACACTAAGCACTAATAGCATAAAAAACCCGACGTTGAACAGCAGCACGAACATGAGCATGATCCCATTGAAATAAGAATAAACACTAATGCTGAACATAAAGTTTGAAAGCAGATATAGTTTCCTAAAGGACTACAACAGGTACATGTTTATAATCCAGACTATAATAACAAAATACAAACTTTAAAAATCTATTGCACCAGCATAATCATTGTGATTTTTCTGTGTTCTTTATGATTTTTTTTCAAACTCAATGATTTCTGGAACATCTCAGCTATTATTTTTTATAATTTTAGATTCTATATTTCTTCAGATTCAGGGAATGAACAATACAACACTGAGCAGTTCAGTCTCAGTCTTTTTTTTAAAGTAGCATTACCTCATTCATCTGTTTAAATAATCCAAATTAGTCACATTTCTTGATTTTTCTAGGATATTCCGCAGTAAATAAAGAGCATTAGGTGCACAGGTCGACAGTCGGTTACGTACTGAACTGACAGATGTGATCGCTGGACTTGGACTCGGGCATGGCAGTGATAGTGAGAAGGGGGCAGTCATTTCCACCGAGGGTCTCACACAGCACGTCCTGTCTCAGGTAGATTTGAGGAGTTCTCAAATCCTCCAGTTTGGACAGATGCATCTGAATACAAAGATAAATGACTTATCTCCTAATATCACACATACAATATGTAACAACCATCATTTATTGTAAGTTTTACCCCACTTAACAACCCCCACCCCCACCCCCCTCCCATCCTACTCTCCTACAACTGAGGTGTGATTTTCAAGCACTATATTGAAGGCGCAACTATAGATCACTATAGAGTATGATGAGTTCTGAGATTTATGAAGCAAAACAGTTTAGTAATCAGACTACCTGAAGATGGAGTTCAAAAATATAAAAGTCACTGGCACAGTAATATTACCTTCAGTGTGGAGTATGTATATGGGTAATGATAGGCAAAGTAGCAGACATCGTCCTTTTGGGTAAAATTTATGCTGAAGGTCGTTGTATAATAGGATTTTCCTTTCTGACCACCAGCTGCAATGGAGCTCCTTGCAAAGTGATTCCTATGGAGAGGGAGGATCAGTAAATTTTACACTGAAGAAACCCACAATACAAACACTGAATGGTAAATGAATTGCATTTGCATAATTCTCCAATTCCACAAAATGCAAAATGTTAACATTTCCGTGACAATTTCAGCAACGCATATACAGTAAGTGTGACAAGTTGATTATAGCAGAAAGTATTAGAATAGAGGCTTAAAATCAGAATGGATTGTGTAACTCCATACCTATGTTTTAGATTTATTTATATTTAGAAAGGCTATCTAAGGGGATATTAACTTTAGCAGAGAACCACTTTCAAAAGATCATTTAAAAACAAAAGAGCACTTAGTCCATTAATACAAACTCATAACAATTTTTGTCAATGCAGCAAGCTATAAAATGCATCAAAGAGTAAAGTTTGTACTCTATAGTTCATATATAAAGTATAATAACATGGAAGATACTCTATTAATGCATTAAACTGATCTTATCCTATAATGCTATGATACCAATTGTAAAGTTTCTTTAATAGTTTTTGCTTGTAATATTAATTTGTGCAGATCAATTACATTGTGAGTTTATATACTTATAGTAACAGATGTCTGTTCCTGTTCGGACCCAGCAGGGCCGGCCACTGATGGCCTCCTGCACAGAGTACATCAGAACCTGCATGCCTGCATATCAAAGCACAAACACACAGATATTAAACTAGAAAGACAAAAACACTAAGGTTACGTTCTGACGTTTAAATATTTGTTGCACTCAAGGTGATCTCATTCAGTGCTGTACGTAAAAAAGAAGACATCATCTGTGGGCCAGATGTTTTGACACAGATGTTTGTTGTGGTTCTCACCATAGTTAAATTGGCTGTTTGACTTCTCGCAGTTGACGATGTTGAAGCGATAAGAAGTTCCAACACGCATGCCGCTCACTTCAAAGTAAAACCACTGATGGTAGTGATTACTGTTGATATCTGAATTCAGCACCAGGTCATATTCATATCTGGATAACAACATGATAAACCATAAATATGGACACAAACATCAACCATAAAATAATTTTGTTCCACGTCTTTAATCCCAGTTGTCAAACAGTACTTTGACTTCTTTACTGTATATATACAGTTATGACCAAAAGATTTGCAAATGGCACAAATTTTGGGTTTCACAAAGCTTGTAGCCTCAGTTTTCTTAGAACATTTTGCCAAATATTTACATGGTGTAATGAAGGAAAATTATAATTTGCCTCAGCATGCTGAAAATCAGCTTCTGTGCAAAACATCGAGTGATGGCAAACCATTGTTGCCAAATCAGTGTTTGGAGCTGATCAGAGCTTCTGGGTTTTTGTTTGTCCCCCCCGCTTTATGAGAATTGACCACAGGTTCTCAATGGGATTGAGATCTGGGGAGTTTTCCATGTTTGCATCACCGAGCCACTTGGTTATCACTTTTGCCTTGTGACATGGTGCTGCATCATGCTGGAAAGAACATTGATAATCTCCTAATTGCTCCTGGAACGTTGGGAGAAGTTGCTCTTGGAGGATGTTTTGATACCACTCATTCATGGCTGTGTTTTTACAAAATTTTGAGGGAACCCACTCCCCTGGATGAGAAGCAAGCCCACACATGAAGTGTCTCAGTGCTTGTTGGCATGACACAGGACTCATGGTGGCGCTCACCTTTTCTTTTCCGGATAATCATTTTTCTAGATGTCCCAAACATTGTGAAGGGGGCTTCATCAGAGAAAATAACTTCACCCCAGTCCTCTGCAGTCCGACCCCTATACTTCCTACAGAATGTCAGTCTGTTCTTGATGTTCTTCTTGGAGAAGTGGATTCTTTGCTATACCCTTCCTGACAAGCCATCGTTTAAAAGCCTTCATGTCACTGTGCCTCACTCACACCTGTCCTGTCTTTCCTGAGCAAGCTCGGTGCTGGTGGTGACCTGATCTTGTAGCTGCATTCTCTTTAGGAGATGTCCTGATGCTTGTTTGACTTTCTTGCTGAGCCACTCCCATTGAAGATCTTGATTCGATAAATGGATGAATGGGGTGCTATCTTACAAGTGTCAATGTCCTCGTAATTCATCTTACAACTCATCGCAATTCACTTACTGCAATACAAATTGCCACCATGAAAACTGAGGCAGCAAACTTTGTGAAAACCAAAATTTGTGCCATTTTCAAATATTATGGCCACGACTAAACTTTTAACATCTTCATACCTACTTTCTAATTTGGACAGCCTTCCTGAGATTGCCGGACTCAAACTGAGAGTTGAACTTCAGTGATTCACCATTTTCTTCAATCACAGGACAACTGAAAACAATATTTACAACTCAGCTGACACTTTACACAAGTAAATTATTAATCTCAATACATGTAATAAAAAATAAAGTAAATAGTGGTCAAAGCTCTCAATATTGTCAAGAGAGAAGATAATCTAGTGTTTGAATTTAAAATATAAATCATAATGATGATTGTTTTTTTTTGTTTTTTTTAAAAATCATTAGCAAACAGAAAAGTTCACCTGGTAATGTCCAAGTCATAAACTACTTTATCCAAGATATCATTAGAATGAATCAACCGCTCAATGTCCTGAAATATTTTTGACCTGCAAAATTAGACAAACACAAAAAAGATTTTCTATTAAAAACATCATTTTGAAATGAAGATTAATTAATTTTTTTCTGAGTCGATAAAGTTTCAAATACAGTAAAATAAACAAATTAAAAAAATTATATTTAGAATTCACAACTTGCATAAATAATTTAACTTTTTCTATATTGTGGCAACTCACTCTTAGTTTAACAGGATTTCTAAAGTTCCAAATGATGCCGTAGATGTATTAAGTTGTAGTTCAGACATTTAGAAAACCTTACATTTTATCTAGTAATATCTTCTTTTCTAGAAAACACTTAGCTTACTGCATATTTGGATGTGTTTAGCTTTAAACTGTTTTAATTGTACTTTCTCATTCTGTACACCATAAGATTATTTGGGGTTAAACCACTCTCCAACCACTGGAACAGATGTCTCACCTTTGTACACCATAAAGTCTCTCTAGAAGAGGTTCCTTAAACGTTGGAGCCACATGACCAAAGTAATCTGGGTAAGCCACTTCAGCGTACTGGGGGACAGAATGAGTTGCTTTCACCATCTGCACGTAAAGGTCAGGATCATGCAAGGGGAGGAGTTGAGCCGTGTCCGGCACCTCAAGAACTGCGCCTTCCCCCGATTCATCCTCACCTCCCTCTGAGCCACAGTCTGAACCCCAGTTGCTGCCCCCTCCTCCCACGCGACGGATTGGAAAGCCCCCCAAGAGCAAAGGTGACTGTATGTGCCTTGTAGTGTTGACTGGAGATCCTTCTCGTTTCCCCCTCTCTGATCCAACTTCGGTTTTCAGATTGTCCTCTAAAGAGACACATTCCAGTGGACGTGATAGTTCCTCTTCAATCCCATGAGCCTGAGAGGGAGACCTGCAGAAAGAGGGAAAGGTGGTGTGTCCATCTGGAGAAGGAGTGTTAGCTCCCTCTTTTTTATCTTTATCCTTGTTGATGAGAATTGAATCCAGGTCTAAAGGTGTTTGAGAAGCAGGTGGGGTAGAAGTAGGAGCAGAGGGAGACAGCTGAGTCTGATGTTTTTTGACAGAGTTGCAATCCTCACGAGAGTTTGGTGACGGGGTTTGCTTTTGTGATGGGGATTTAGCTGTGGGCACTAAAACTGGCCGAGTGAGCCGAGATGATGCCGTTGATGAGGAGAGGGATGAGGAAGATGATTTAGTTGAGGCACTTTTTGAGCATTCAAAATTATACCCCTAAAGAGACAACGCATGCTGTCAGAAATATTCAAGTCTGAGTGATTATGTTGCAAATTACATCTAACACATGAAAGCTGCTCATGAGCCAATAATATATGCCACAGCTTGAAGACATCTATATAAATTCTAGCAGTATTATGAGGTTTATACATTAGACAAGTCGTTCAATGATAGGACCACTGCTAAACATGTATACAATTAAAACTACTGTCTCAGTCCAGAACATGATAAAGTAAAAAAGTGTTGAGACTAGTGGAGATTCAAATATGTGAGTAGTACACAAGTAGTGAAGTATAATATACAGTATGTGCTTACCTGAAAATCTTCAGTCAGCTCAGAGAAAAATCTCTGATAGGTCTTCAACTCATCATATGAGCGTCCAATTGTCCTTTTGGGATGGAGCTTGTTCAGGTCTGTTTCTATGTCATCATTCTGTTCGACAAAACAAAAAAAAGAAGCAAAACCTTAAAGTTAGGAAGCTGCATTTGTATCCGAGTCACTGATCTTGACAAAATATATGGATGACAAATGTTTTACTGTTATGTGGCCAATTATGATTTATAGCTGCTGAAATATGACTGAAAACTAGAAGAAGTGCAAATATGAATAACTAATTCACAATCACGATGAGTATTCGTCACAGTTCTCCCCTGCTTTAATTAAAATGAGTAACAACACAGAGAAGAAGAATCCTTTGTTTTACTGATTTGTGAAAATATTTTATGTGAAATGTGCTGATTACCAGACTGCAATGATCCTTCTCGTCGTCGTCATTTTCAGTATCTGCATCTGCTTCTGGCTCCTCGTTATCATCACTTTCATCCACCACATCGTCCACTGAGCACAGTACATACGGACACACATTACTGATCTATTCTGCTCTTGGTTTTAGTTTTATTTTTCATAAATCAGGGGTTATTCTGATCTATAGTGCACAGCTGGTAAATAACCCTAAAAGTCAAACCCAGATCTCCATGAGACTTGTTACTTCGATAAGAAACGAAAAACAAAATGTTAAGAAATGTGAGCAGCGGCAGTAAATAAGAAAGTTGTTGATCTTTTAGCTGCTCTCTTTTGCAGGAGTTCCCACAGCGAGAAAACCCATATGAAAAATTTGGCAATTGTTTTACGCCAGATGTCCTTCATGGTGCAACCAGGGCTAGGAGAAAAGAGGAAATTGTGGGCATATTTCTGCGAACACCACCTCATATTGAGCTTATGGTCTTACTAACAAATCAATGTTGCATAAATATAAACAGTTTTACAGACACCTATTCATAATTGAAGTAGACGAAGTGCAACAAATTAAATATATTATGACACTTTCTACTTTAGATGGTGGGAACATTTCAGCAAAAATAATGTCTTTAGGTTTCAAAAGAATATAATTTAGTAGCAATGACTTGCAACAAAATAACTGAAGGACATGTGCAAATAGTGTGAAATGTTGTGCACATGCCAGCGAAGTGTGTGTGCGTGCGAGCTTATGAATGCATCTGTTCTCACCTCCAGGTGGCTGGTTGTACAGCTGTGCCACAGGGCCCCCAGCAGGAACATTAGGTAGCTGGAAGAGGAAGGTTGACTTGATGGTCGCTAAAGGCAGACGGTTCTTAGGAAAACACTTCCTCATGATGAGACTTGAAGTGTTGATCAGAGGATCCAAAGTCCGCACAGAGAGACACTCCTAAAACCAAAAACACAAAAAGGTCAAGCGCAGCTGTGCCCCACTTTGCATGCTACTTGATTTAATTACTTCTTTTTCGTGTTGTTGTATTACAGTGGATGAGTTGTAGAGAATCCTCATGCCATCGGCCTCCAGGATTGCCTTCCTGCCGAGTTTGATGTTGGTAATATTTCTGAGGCAGCCCAGCAGGCCTTTACGAATCAGCATGTGGCGATGGCGAGTGTCGTTGCGATGCCAGTCCAGGTACAGAGCGAGCAAGACGGGAACAAATCCACCGTCCACTGCACGACGAGCATTTGTTTCTGCGCAGGAAAGAAGATGAAGAAGCAGATATATTGGCATGGATCAATTTGCCACTGTAAGATAAAATGATGACTGGTATAACAAATACAAATTTAACAAGGTGTGGACAGCTAGTGGTTTCAGAAAACTTGAAACGCAAACTGAATAATTAACTAGTTTCTGGTTCAGATAAAGTCAGAAGTCTATGAAAAACAGGAAAAAGAAAAAGATGAGCTATACTGCACAACACTGTAAATTAAAAAAAAAAAAAAAAAGAGAATTTTTTAAGCTAAAAGCTAATTACTCACTGGATTTGAGCAGAGCTCCCAGTGCGTCCAGAGCTACCCTGTTGATTTTGAAACAAGGCATACGGGTTACATGGTCTGTCAGTAACAAATGCTCAATAATTCTGCTGATAAAAGACCATGATGATGTAGTGTGGGTGGATGTCACTGGTTTCTAAATACTCAGCAATCAATCACATTATCTAGTTACAAGAGAAGCATACTCACTTTAACAGGGTGGTGTTCTTTTTGCTGTATGGTGCAACAATCTTGAACATAAGTTCCACCACACCATTCTTCCCCAGTGAAATAGCATTCACAGCTTCACATAAATAGACCAAAAAAGGATGCAGTCTTAGAAAAAAAAAGGTACTGCAGTGTTAACAAGGCAAAAATATATATATATATTTTTTTTCCCCTTGGATTATCCACCATAGGTTTTAAATTACTCACAGTTAGTGGAGTAAACCCTGAGAACCTGCAGACAGGGCAGAAGTAGTTTTGCATTCAGTAGATTCTGTTTCATCAGGTTCACAGTGATGTTCAGAGCTCCGCTCAAACGTGCCTTCACTCCAAACTTTCTGTCTGAACACATACAGGATTTCAGTTTAGTCTTTTTAATGTATTTTTGAACTAATAGCATTGACATTTTTGTTCCTTTTACTGTATCATAAAAAATACATTTATTTAAATGCTGCAAAGCCATTTTATTCTACAACTGACATTTTTTTTCTTCTTCTTTAAAACGCTGAATAAGAATCGACAGAAAATAATCAGTCTGACTGAGCACTGTATTGCTGCGGTGAATAATTTGATTTTTTTGTCAAACCTTTCTCAACACTACATATGTAACAAATGAATAATTAAAAAGCACAATCTGATATATTAAATAAAAAGAAATCACCTGAGTTTACAAGTTCTTTTTAACTGATACTACTCCTATTGGGGGCAGCATGGTGGCGCAACTGGTAGAGCTGCTGCCTCTCAGCGAGAAGGATGCCAGTTCAAACCCCGGCCCAGGGGCCTTTCTGGGTGGAGTTTGCATGTTCTCTCCGTGCATGCGTGGGTTTTCTCCAGGTACTCCGGTTTCCTCCCATAGACCAAAAAACATGCATGTTAGGCTGATTGGTAACTCTAAATTGTCCCTAGGTGTGAGTGAGAGAGTGAATGGTTGTTTGTCTCTATGTGGCCCTGTGATGGACTTGCGACCCCTCCAGGGTGTACCCCGCCCCTCGCACAGTGATTGCTGGACATGGGCACCAGCGACCCCCGTGACCCAAAATGGAATAAGCGGGTAAAGATAATGGATGGATGGATGGATGGATACTTCTATTGGCCCTACAACAACCATTCAGAATTCAGGTGTCTGATCAATGTCACTGCTTATTGTCACAGCTCACTGGATTGATTTATTATTTGATTAAGTGTTTGGTTCTGCCTGTCCCAAAGCTCTGTGGATCTTTCACAGCAGTGCAAATAAAGTAGCCAATCAAAGTGAAGCTAAATACTTTGGAAACATATTAGCCAGGCTGTTCATGTTATTGTGTGTGTGTGAGATAGTGCAAGAAAAATAACACAACACAAATAAAATAAAAGTTCTATGTCTACACCTCATCACAAATACTTCAAAAGGGACAAGGAAACTATTGTTTTAAAACCCACAGTGTACATTATCCAACTGTGTGCACTGGGAAAAATTAACAGGACCAGGATTTGAACCAGGGACCTGCTCGCTGAGAGGCAGCAACTCTACCAGTTGCACCACCGTGCTGCCCTCAAAACACTCAGTTAAATAGAACAGAGACAACTAGGAAAAATGTTTTAACTCGAACACAAGGTGGGCCTACAATGCAAGAACTCATGTCCTCTTCTTAATATGTTTGAGTTGGACTGTGGTTACCTTTGGGTCCAACCTTGGCGAGCAGCGAGTGAAGCTGTAGCATGAGTTCTTCACTGGGAAGAAACTCTCTACTGGCAGTGATCAGAATCTGGAATAATACTCCTGTTCCTCCCTTGGAGACAAACACACCCACTCTCCTCCCTCTGCCTAAGACAGAAAACCAAGAATAGAACAGCAATAATTGCAATGAAACTTAATTCAGGACCAGGATTAGAACAACTGGGCAAAACACTGATTCCATCAGTCATAGCCAAATTTAATTTATACTTGGGAATTCCAATTAACATTTTATTATTTAGGAACATGGATGCATTCAAAAGTAGGTAAATGCAAAAAGCAAAAGAATCTGAGGTCTCCTTACCAATAGTCAGCAGCTCACTGAGGATGTAAAGAATGTTCAGGGTAGTCTGGACATCTCTGCTATTCTAGCAAAGTTACAAACACCACACTTGTTAGAATTATATATACAGTGCAGCAATTTGCTCAAAAATATAGCAAAGCTGTTTCATCTTATTAATCTTAAGTGATTAATGTGACATCTAGTGTCTATTTTTTGTGGAGACTGGAAACCTCTAAACCTGAGTTGAGACGGTCACTGAGAGCATGAATCAATCTGCTCAAATGAAAGCATTTCATAAAGTAAAAAGTGAAGCTACAGTTTAGGCAAAACTTGAATCATGGATGCTTTCAGGCTTTAAAGAAACATACTCCAAAAGAAAGAGACACCTTAATATAGACAGTGTATTTTCTAAAATGTTTTTCCAAATATACAAATTTACACAAAAACGTTGCTTCCTGTGAGGTACTTAGCAGGTAAATGACAGTTTTTCCACAAAATCAAATTTGCATCCCAGGCTACAAATCTTCTCCAGCAAACTTCTTCAGGTGTTCACTGACCAAGAAAACTCATTAGAATTAACTTCATTCCATTGCTGCTGTAATGCCAAATTGTATGTGTTGTAGCTGTTGTGTTACAATGCAACCATATAGGGAGCTAAAATTGTGTTGTGTTAATGTGAATTCACCTCAAGTGATGCCAGGATGACCTCCATTCCAGTGGAGCCTTTGGACATCACCTCTTTCCCACTCCTCTCTGTAAAGCACCAGAGTAAAATGGGTCAGAAATGGAAAGAGTAAGCAAATATGTCTGCCAGCCCCTGGTGTCACTTTAGAATGTGTGAAAACCAACACTGAAAAGACTCAGAGACCAGCCACCTGAAACTAAAGCAAAGTGATTAACATCTGGAGGGGGGATTAACGTCTGGAAGATAGTTTCCAGTTGAATGCTTCAAATTTCTGAAGGAAGGACTCATATTCAAAAACATTCACTGCAATGATGCCTGTTGCCACAACACAGAGCAGCAAAGCTCCCGTTACAGCAGACAAAGAGGGAAAGTGACTTCATTCTCTGGTCAGGACACCTTTAATCCATTGTATCTTTACATAGCAAAGAGCTGTCCGCTGCCATTTTCGGGTTTTAAGACCTCACATTAACATGTTGGGAAAGATTCTGCACAAACATGAGACGCTTTAGACAAAATAATAAGATAAGATAGAACTTTACTGAACTCAAAAAGCGTTCAATACAAAAAAAATTTGTTTAACTTTGTTAAACTTTACAAATAAAGTCCAGTTGTTTTTGTATTGAACGCTTTTTGAATTCATCATGTCCTGGATGACTGAGAATCTTCACCAGCAACTTTACTGAACCTGCAAGAAATTGTTGAATGAGAGAAGAAGACCTTGAAGACCCATAACATTTTCTTCCCCCCGTCATATTTTTCCCCCAAATCAAAGTCTGGTCAAGTTCAAGTTGATTTTATTATTATTCGCATAACATGTGGTACATGAGGTGGAAGGAAATTGTGTACACAGGGTCCCAGTTACATCCAAGAATAGCAAAAATATCAAGTGTAAAAAGAAACAGCAATAAGGATCTGTAAGGGCCACCTGCAACATGAAGGACCCCGCTCACCCAGCACACACACTTTTTGCCCCGCTCCCCTCAAGAAGTAGGTTAAGGAGCATTAAGTGTAGAACCACTAGACTGAGGAACAGCTTCTACCCTGAGGTTGTTAGCTCATGAATCTCTAACCAGAATAATCACTGAAGAATCACATCATGTTGCTGCTGATCTGTTTCATGTTGCTGTGTTCATTCGTGCTCATCTGCTCACACAGACTCATGTTCGTGCTGCTGTTCGGCATATTGTTTTTATGCTACTAGTGCTTAGCGTATTTTTAGTTGATGTTTTTCTTAGTTTTTTTCTTAGTTCATATCTTAGATCTTATTAATGTTTTTCTTTTAAGTTTTATTGTTGGATGTAACTGGGACCCTGTGTACACAGTTTTGTTCCACTACATGTAACACATGTGGTGCAAATGACAAATAAAGAAAATGACTCTGATTCAAGATCTAAACTAAGAAAACGCTAAGTACTAATAGTACAAAAACAATACGGTGAACAACAGCAGCACGAACATGAGTCTGTGTGAGCAGATGAGTACGAATGAATACAGCAGCATGAAATAATAATTCAGCAGCATGAGATCAGCAGCATAAATAATCAGCAGCACATTTGCTGTGAACTGCTGTGAACATTAAAAAAAAGAATTGCTAGAATTTTTTTAAAGAACAATTTTTCATCCTTTCTAAAATAAATAGCAAGCTAATACATGCACATTAAAATCTGACAAACAATAATAAAAAGAAATTACAGAAGACTAAAACAAAGCAAAAAATACTAACAAAACAAGAACATAAAAACAACTTTAATCTCAGGATATTGATGCTTTTGTGCAGGAAATGTAAACATTACAAAACCAAAAAAACAAACTGTCCAAGTGGTGGATTATACTACCCGATGGTGATCTTAGTCTGGACATCTGGCGAGATTGAGAGTTTGGCAGAACGTGCAATGCTTCACTAACTTGTGGGGATGAAATGTGTTGAGTGCACAGCTCAGCCACAAGAATTATGCCAGAGTTTCATTATAAACAGAGTGAGTATTGTTCAATCAACCCAGCAACATACAAACAAACAACAAAATGTATACTGTATATATATTTTTAAAAAACTATGCTCACCCTTTAAAGCATTGGAGAGCAGAGACTTCTTCAAACATTTCTGTCATGCCCGACTTTTTAAAGCTCTTCAGAACAAATCCGTCTTTCAACGCCAGCAAAGTGATCACTGCCCAAGTAGAGATGCACACTCGTAAAACTAAACTTAAAATCTCTGCACTATGACCTCCTGCATTTAAACTGCCTTCAAAATCTGGGTGTGTTTCTATCTAAAGAAGAATGCACTCATTCCCAGATGAATTCAAGAAGCTGCAGAGGTCAAGTGTTTGTTCTAATCCAGCATCTCACTTTAACTTTAACTCAGCCAAAGTCAAATACAGTATCTAAAGTGTTTGAAACTTAAGAACGATGAAATGCAACTGTAGATGATATTGTGAAACTCTATGCTTTGGACAGCGTTTCAAAACGGACCGTTGATATATCGTGTCGCAGCTCCTTAAATATTTTTCTTGTGTATTTTACTATTCTGGTCCCTACCTGCTGAGCCTGAAGAGTCCAAGGATGGATAGTATCTCCTGGTGTAGCGATACTCCATTTCAAAACAAAGCTCTCCAAGTTCGCAAAGGCTCTGAATGAAAACTGGTTCTATTCTCTAAAATATCAAAAGTAATTTCCCTCGGCAGTTTGAGCGCCTCAGGTCTGCAGCAAATCAAAAGGTTGCAGGTTATAATGTTACCGAAAGGTAATTTGCTTTTAAAGCTTCATTGGCACGTCTATCCCCCTAAAGCTTGAAGTGATCTCTTCAGCTGGTCAACACAAACCACGTACTTTTGTACCATGTGTGCACACACCCGGCTTAGTGATAAGCACCTCCCATTGCACCCGCCCAGCCACTGAGCCGCAGGCTGCTTCAATAGAAGACTTTCAGAAGCATCTCTTAATGAGGACGCTCTAATATATACAAATAGACCACTCCAAAAAGAAAAAAAACATATTAGAAATCATTATTATTAACATTTATTAATGTTTCAAAAGTGTGAACACAATAAATCAAGCCACATATTTGTTTTGAAGATACTTCCACCAAACAAAAGTTCATAACTCTTCCATTTATAAGTCCTGGCTTCCCCTTGTTATTTTTTTAAGGTATCTCTTTACTGCCTCATAAGCTCCCAAGGCTCTAAACTTAAGACAGAGTACAGCAAAGTCCATCGTGGAGTGTATGGTTACTGTGAGCAGGGTCAAAGACCCCCCTCCCTCCTCAACTGCTTCCCTCTGACCTACGTCACGCTAGAACATTTCAAGTTGCGGGTACAGGCGAGGGTCTGACAGATGACTAAGCAGTAGATGAGAGAGGAGCAGCTGTATATCATGATTGATAGAGTTACAGACAGATGCCTTTTCACTGTGCCCATCATTCAGGATGGATTAACAGCTTGGCTTTGAAGAGGGGTAAAAAAAAAGCCTCAATTTAAGAAGAGAGGAAATTCAAGAAAGGTGGAACAGGAAGAAGGTCAAAGGGAATTTAAAGTAGGAAAGATGCTGCAAAAAAAAGCATCAGCAAAATTCTTCAATTTACACAATCAGATGCAGACTGGGTGCTTGACTATGGAACACCAAAATGCTCAAAATTAAATAAATAAAACATTATAAAATAAGAAAAAAAAATCATTTTTATTCTTTCATTTCATAATTGTGTTTTTCATAATGACTTATTTATTTCATAATGCCACTTTGCAGCAGAATGACTTGAGCCGTCAACCAACATCAGTGGGTTGGACCTGCACGCCCCCTGGCTCTGGCTGATCCTTCACACCATTAGTTTTCCTGCTCACTGGTACAGCTAGTGTTAATCTTGTTAAAATCAAAGAACTAAAACAGCGAGTCCTCTCGTATGTGCTCCCGCGGTGCCGATCAATTGTTGGCAGTCCATCACTTTTTGTCACGACACCTGTATCTTCTGAGAACGTAATCCTCTCAGTTTGATCTGCTAAAGTTACCTGAGCTGAACGAAGTTCATGCAACTCTGCCATCCTTCATGATTGTTGGCCTAGCAAGTCGCTGCTAGCTGCTATACTAGCTGTGAGCAGGAAAACTAATGGATGAGAAGGATCAGCCAATGGGCGTGCAGGTCCAGCCTGCTGACGATGATTGACAGCTGAAGTCATTCTGCTGAAAAGTGGCATTATGAAATAAATAAGCCGTTATGAAATAAATAAGCATTCATGAAAAACGCCATTATGAAATAAATAAGCCGTTATGAAATAAATAAGCATTCATGAAAAACGCCATTATGAAATAAAAGAATAAAAAAGAAAAATTTTCATAACAATGATTAAGATACTTGTTTCATAATGTTTTATTTATTTATTTAATTCTGAGCATTTTGGTGTTCCATACTTGACAGGTTAAATGTTGTCCTCTTATAAAAATCCAGACTGAAAATGCCACATTCTGCAAAAACAACAAACTCCACGGCAAAATAAAAATAAAAAAATCATTAGCATCTATGGGGTTCTTCTAATAGACAATACATTTTGTTTGTATGTGTCAGCTATAATATTTAACGGAGTTATTTTTAACTTATTTGCTTTTACTTTACTAATGAGAGCAGTTAAAAAGCAGCAAAATGTCAATGAATCTAAGATTAGGCCTTCAGATTGTATGTTTTGTGTATCCAAGTTACAGAGATTTGCTATTTATAGCAAAGTCAAGTTAGTAATAGCAGGAATGCCTAACATTTCAAAAGCAGTAAACTGCGAGTGCTCGGTATTTCTGCTTGATAAATGAGCAATACAAGAATCATAACACAGTTATTTCACCAGCTCAACAAATGCGTTTGTTGACTAAACGTCATAGCGTGACAACAATGTGAAACTGATATTTAAACTAATCCGAGCTTCCAGTAGAGGCTCCTTGCTAACAGGGACGCACTCGTGTTTCACTGTGTTTAACACGGTGATGTGGCACAATGCCGTCTTCTTCCGCTGCGAGATCAACACTCCTCTTAAAGAGTAATCAGAGACTCTGGACCCGTCAATCTACACCTTTAGCTACCGCTTCACCCGCCCGTCTCCTTTTCCACAGCAAATAAACAAAACAAGACTTAATGAATTAAACAGCTACACCAGGGTTTCACACAAATATCTGAATTTACAAAGGGGAAAGTACAATTTGAGAACATTAAATATTACATTTCATATCTCTAGAAGAAAGACTTTTGTAAACAAAGATTTCACATTATTAGAAATTTTAATTTTAAGTCCAAGAATAACAAAAGACAAAAAATTAAAAACGCACAGCGGGACGATAGAAAAAAGCAAGCTTGTCAAACCTTTTCAGTTTGATCATGTCTGCTAAAAGAAGTGTCTTAATTCTAACAAAAAAGGTCCATAAAACGTCATGTTGGCAGTTTATATGCACATTTATCAAAATGCCAATTTGAGTAAAACACCATTTTATTAGCAATACAGAGCTAAAAACAGCAGAGAAAAACATCCGCCTAAAAGTAAGCAATTTTCTGAGGACAGTCAGTTTATTATAATTTTTTTCTTTTCATCTTAATTTAGAAAACAGATGTGTCTGATTATGGAGTTCAGTTTGCCATCTTGTTATTCTAACCACCTCATTTTAAAACTCGAAAAATTTGTATTAAATTAGATTTGGTTAGTTACTATAATGATAGTTCAGGTTACTAGACTAGAGGTAAAAAAAAAATGTTTATATGAAGAATTAAAGCAGCACTGTTAAAGAAAGTTAAATGACTAATTATTCACTTGGTCAAACAATCTTCACCTACATTTGGGAATGTTGTGTTAGCCCTTTTTCAAAACATTTAATGAATACTGAAGTGGAAACATGCAATAAAGGGCAATCATTTATTAAACATAATACATCCATAACTTCAATATGTCTGAATTCATGACTAAAGAGTTTTTTTGTTTTTTTTTTCCATCCAAATACATTGACATGCTTGAGTAGTTAAACTGCAACCTGCTACTACAGGTGACATCAAAATAAAATTAATTTAAATGTATTGTGCTATGACTTACTGTATATGATATAAACTAAAAATTAGATGTTCTTTGGAGATAAATCCAAGAGTCTACAAGGTCTTTTGTAACCATCCATCCATTATCTTTACCCGCTTCTTCCTCTTTTTTTTTTTTTCATTTAGCCTTTATTTATCCAGGTTAGTCTCATTGAGCCACAAGAACTCATTTTCAAGAGAGACCTGTTTAGGGAGCACATGGTGGGGGTTAAGGGCCTTGCTCATGGGCCCAGAGTGGGGCGAATGAGGGTGGGGGTCGCCAGTGCCCATGTCCAGCCATCACTGTGCGAGAGTCCGTCACAGGGACACACGGAGACAAACGAGACAAACAACCATTCACTTTCTCTCTTACACCTAAGGACAAGTTAGTTACCAATCAGCCTAATGTGCATGTTTTTGTTCTGTGGGAGGAAACTGGAGTACCTGGAGAAAACCCACGCATGCACGGAAAGAACATGCAAACTCCACCCAGAGAGGTCCCCGGACCAGGATTTGAACCAGGGTAACCTGCTGGCTGAGAGGCAGCAGCTCTACCAACTGTGCCACCGTGCTGCTCGTCTTTTGTAACCTTTACAATAAAATAAAATAAAATAAAATAAACACAAATTGCCAGAAGCAAAATGCCATAAAGGAAAAGTGCCAAAATGAAAAATTGTATTCATGTGAGCAACAATGGAGCCTTGTGTTTTAATTAGACTTATCAAAAAGTGCACACACAGGTGTTCTCATATCCAACTCATGTGAATTTGTGTTTTGAACTTTTAATTGCTCATAACTTCCATTTCAAATTTCTCCAAATACTCAACAAGTCACTTTTCTCATACTGTAAATGTGCAACTTTTAATTAAGCCAATACAGATCATAAAAAGTGATGACTGATATAAATATAATTAATATTAAATTGATACATGATATTTGACATGTATATGACCCTGTGTTGCATGTAACTGGGACCTTGAGTACACAGTTTCGTTCCACCTCATGTACCACATGTGATGCGAATAACAATAAAGAAACTTGAACCTTGAATATTTATTTATTAATATTTAGCCTTGAAACAAATAAGCTGATATTTAAAAATAACATTTCAACTAATGTCATAGAATAACCATATATTGCCAACTGATTGGATGTGAAGACAAAACTAGCTGTTTTCTCCATTTTAACTTTTCCGCTGACAAAAGTGATTATGCATACTGTATAAGAGAGTAACCCAAATTATGCAACTATTGTTTTTTAATTAAATCAATACTTATCTGTCAAGTTAACCTAAAATAACAAAGGTTTGAAGGAAAGAAAGCTACAGAATTAAGCTAGTGATGGTTGTTTTCTTGCATCTTAATCCTGAACAGTTTAATAAATCAATAGAAATGAGTGTAGTTCTTTGAATACACCTGACATTATTTGTCACAGTTTCTTTTGAACAAATATCAACTTAAAGCTTTATGTTTGCACACACTTTAGAAATCAATCTATTCCATACATCAATTTTAAACTGCTACACCATAAATTGTCAAACTGTACATGGATGTAAAGTCACAGAAGTTAAAGATAACATGTCTTTAGAGATCTTACCCCATGGTCTTTGAAGAAATACATTTAAAATAAATAAAAGACAATGTGCCTTTTCTACTGTTTCATGCTAATTGTGTGAGTCAGCGTGTGTATAATTGTGCTCTCACCCTGTGTCTGTATGAGATGAAGGATCTTTGTTGTGACCTGTCTTGCCATTTCAACGTCCCTCAGCATGGACTCGCCGTTCATCCTGTCAAGCTGGCCCAGAAGCATCAGTACCCTGGAGTTACTGGGGACACTGGAAACACACACAGACAATTCTATCTTTATAACTATAGTAATTTTTTGCAGTGTCTGTAGAATATGGCTTCTTTCTGTAATGGCAGTGCACTTCTGTGCACGGAGAAGGATTAATTTGTTTTCTTGTGTACAAGAATGTAGCAAGTCCTCAAATATACTAGGAAAAAAAAACTTCATCCTGCTTTAAAAATACTTTCCTATGCTTAGACGTTCACGTCACCCATAAAAACAAAAATAATAAAGAAAACATAAAAACTGATTTAATGTAGCGTAGTTCAAGGGGCCTTTAAAAGTTAGTAATCCAAACGCAGTTTAAATTTATCTTCAATATATGTTTTGTTTTAATAAAGCTGATTTAAAAGCTGTCCTCTAGTGCTTTATTTCTGGAGTAGTGAGCTCTCTTTTTTCCTAATAATATTAACTTTCCTGGCATTCAGCTAGAAGCGGGAGATGAAGGGTCAGTTGGTGCAGTGAGGGCAAACAATGGAGAGGAATCACAACTCCAATTATTCCCAGTGGAGCAAAAATTCTTCTGCCCTTATAAAGAGAGAGTTAGAGAAAGATGGGAAGAAAATGTGGGTGCTCAAGACAGAAAACTTTTAAAAAGGAAGGGAAAGTAATGTCAGAACGGACATTGATGATGTAGTGGACTAGGCCTACATCGAAACTAAGTCTAAGGTCAAAACTCTTGACCTTTAGAACCTTGTGGGACAGGAACTGTCATTTCATGTATTTGAATACATAAATACAGGTTCACCCATCCTGAGACTTTCTTTCTTGAAGATTCAAGTGAAAAGAACACTCTCTTTTTATTATCATTACTATTCTACAAATGTTGATAATCAAAGTGTCTTAGTTCAAACCATTTTAGATGTTGCAGTGAACTAATCAATTTTATTAACTGAGTAATGATTTTTATTCTCATGCAGTTAGAACTCATGTTAAAAGCTGTTACAGAGTAATTATGCATTTTTCTGATTTCTGCTTTTGAATGAGCAAGTGTGTGCGTTTACAAGGTTACAGTCAAACGAAAAACAAGTTGTTATGTTAAAACTGTCATGTTTTAGAATCCTCTCAGACGTAAGTAGAGATGTTTTGCACCTGTTTCCTGAAACACGCCAAAACAAAACCCTCTCGGTCTGTGAGAACATTTCTGATCTGTCTCATAACAATTCTCGCTGTCTCTAACCTCTTACGTCACAAAACCCACCCCGTCTGGTCGTTTCTGACCAATGAACAAATCCCAAAAAGTGAACCGGGAAAGAGTCTTTAAAAATGTCAGTACTTCCTGGTCTACACGGAGTTGGAGAGTTGTCGGAGTTCTAAGAGTTCTGAGAGCGTAGAGTTCGGTGAGAGTCTACTCAAGTTCTGCTGAGTTCTGATGGAGTGCTGTTGGAGTTCCTGACATGACAACAAAGCTCTCCCGAGTTCCATGGGATTATAACATTTTCCACTGAGGTGAATATGTGTCGAACAGAGCCTCGCCATTACTTCGGACGAGTAACAGCATCCTACTGAGACGCTGAAAGGGTGCGTTAAACGGAATCTCACCTGAGACATCTCCAGGTAAAGGAGCCGATTTCATCACCTAAGTGTACTGTAAGGAAAAGCTGAAGAAAGCCGGAGAGTGTCGATTCTGGTGAACACTTAATTTCCCTCACATACCATCTTAACTCCCTCTAAACTTCTTTCCATCTTTAAACTTTTCTATCAAGTAGAAATTCTTCCAGATATTTAGAAATGTCTGTGTAAAATGCTCACCCACATTCATGTGGGCAAAAGATCATAGTTGTACAGTTTTCATAAATGTCTTTGGTGCAGCAACGGAAAAATCATGGCCGTATGATTTTTCCTGATTGATTGCTTTGTTGTTATTTTCATAATTTGCCAAATTAATGTACCTGTTTGATGTTAAATTTGATTCTGTAAATAAATGACCGCATTCATTTTGATGGGTCAAATCTAAATGACGTCTCACGTTTGCATTTCCTTAAATTCAATGCACGTTTTATTCAGTCCAGAAAAATGAGGAACCCGCGTTAAATGATGAATATATCCCAGCATCTGTTCATCTACAATGAACAAAACTTGTTTTTAATTGTGACAAATTCAGTTTTTTCTTTAAGCTCATGCCATTATCTCAGACAGACACACATACAAACACACTGACTAGAAGATAGATAAAGGAATCAAACACTAGTGCAAAAGGAGTTAAAGCTGAAGTAGTGGAAGAGCAGAATCACTTCATAAATGCAAATCTGGAGAAACATCCATGAGACACATTCGCACACATCACTGCCTCTGTGTGTGTGTGCGTGCATGCGTGCGTGTACCCATCAACTCACCCCTTCTCTGAGGCCATTTTGGGTTTGTTCATTTTTTACCACATCAAAATGTCATGTTGTCTGCAAGAGAGAGCAAAAAGTCCACAGTGAATAAAAAAGACAAACCATGTCATGTTATTTAAAGAATGATTACCCTTTACACCCAAATGTCAAACGAGCTCCCACTGGACTCCCACTTTAGCCAGCTAGAAACTAAGCCAAAACCAGCTGACCATAAAGCTCAACTGTCCCTAGCTTTGAATGTACTGGGCTATAAACATGTCATGTACCAAACAGATGACCTATGTGATTTTTTTTTTTTTTTTTTTTTTGGGGTGATGTGTTTAATGACATTTTTCCATAAGATTAAAATTATGTATACAATAAAATAGTAATATTATATGCTTGATAGAAAAAAATACTATAAAACTTGCAGCCAATGCAAAGCAAAAGGAAGCATTATAGACCAGTCTGACAAGAGCTCCATGGGAAAAGTACAATCCGTACACATTTTCCTCCAATATCTTAGAAAACTACATATATTTTGAGTGACTGTAGTGCAGTTTTGTACCTTTGACTATTGTGAGAATGTGTGAGTGCAGTGTATATCTTTAAACTCAAGCTGCAGACCGATAGCTCTTACTGATTGTTCCAAAACAAAGCTACTATCAGATGAACAAGGCCTGCAGACTGATATTACACAAAACAAAGTATAGTCCTAGAGGTGAACAAGACCAGTTCAGATAACTGTAAGGGTGCAAAATGAACACTGCAACATCTCTTTTTTTATGTATACTTGGATCACATTTATTTGATTACGCCACACATTCACAATGACACAGAGTTTTGATCAATTTAACGTCACAACTCCTCTTATTTGTTTTGTTTTCCCAAGATCATGTGGCAATAATGAGAGAGCCGAGCCTGTTTTATCAAAAACATTTCAAAGATTTTCAAACCAGGTGAAGGTTTGGGCTCTGTGCTGGCCACTTCCTTCCATCCAGAAGGCTTCATCAGTCAAGGAAACACACAACACAAAACTGATTCTTCCCCCAAACAGCTTACTCCTAAGTGGAACAAACCAGTTATGTTGGTGCTAAGATGGTGTTTCTGGCACGCCCCCTCCTCTGGAGCCAGCTCTCTTATATATAATATATTATAATAATATAACAATAATAATAATATACTTTACCTACAGTTTAAGCCCAAACAAACATCAAATTCTTATCCAGTCAAGGTGGTTCCTTTGGGGAGCGTAAACAAATATGGAGTTGCTATCAAAAACTGTATCAATTAGGGCTGAAACAGTAGTCGCCAGCTGACACGTATTAATCTCTGTATCTTATTTGTTTGGGTAATTAAATTAAAGTGGTGAGTTTTTTTTTTTGTTTGTTTGTATGTGGCCGGCTTTTAATAGAAATCTCTCACTGAGAAAATCAATAAGTTTAAACAAACTAATACAGCAGGACCACCTGATGATAAGGTCACGCCCTCATAAGGAGGTAACAGTTGTCATAGCAACAGGTCAGAACCATTTACGTTAAAAAAAAATGAATACATAAAAACTAATACCAGAATACATTTTTTTTTTTAAACAGTGATGCTGACATGTTAACAGTTCATCCAGAACCAGTTCAGGAAGAATGGTTGCTACTGCTAGGTTAATAAATATACAGGGAAACACCTTGACGAGTTTCTTGTGTATATATTCAGGACGTTAGGGCTGGTAGCCGAGCTGAGCCTGGCGGGTGGTCGCTGCATCTGCTGGGCCGGTCACTAACCGCCGCCGCTGCGCCAACAGCCAGGCCAGCAAACAAGAGGGATAAGCTAACAGTAACGCTCACTACTGACAACACAACTGTTTGCACCAATGACAAATACTTGAACCATAACAACAAAATAAAAGAGACTTTTACAAACCTGTTGAAATAGAACTGCTGTCTCGATAAGACTGCACTAACTGTAAGATAAGGGAACAAGCTACTGTTCCTGGCTTGATACGCCCTGATTATGATGTACGGTTGAGAACGGAGACGCTCGAGTACCGGTAAATCACGCGAGAGTAGCGACGTCTTCTTCTGTTTGGATGTCAAACAAACAAAAAAAAGTATATTTGTTTGAGGTCATTCACATTTTTAATATGGTTTGAAAATGGTTTAAAAACTCCAGCGTTCAGTTGTATAAATTCGCCGCAGTTTCTCTGTTTGGAATTTAGCTGTTGTTTGTTTGGACTACAAGTCCCAGGTAGACGCCGGTGACTTGCTTATGACGTATAATTTATACGCCAGTCTGTACAGTCTTCGAAGGAATTAGTACTTAAAACGAAGGTATGTGCTGATCTGTAACGATTTATTGATTTGTGAAAGACAGTGTTCACATTTTATATATCATACATAGTATAAGTAGATATAAAAATACAAATAACTTGAATTTTGTTTGCTAGAAACACGTATTGCGTGTACATTAGCTTGTCTTGTACGGCGTATAGCCAACTATGATAGTGATGTTGGTGAGAACACACTAGCATCACGTTTATTACCTTTTTGTTACCACGAATGACAAATAAACAATTATTTGTCATTTTGAAGATAAGATTACAAGGGAATTTATGTACTTGTTGTATTCGTAGTGCGAAGACGAACATAATTACTATGGTGTATATGTTTGACATGCTTGTTCTGGTACTCAGCATGCTGTTCTCTTACCAGCCATGTATTTGTTTTATTGGCAAGTAATCAGTTAAATCACTATTAATAGGTACAATAATTGTGTCACAGATTTTTTTTTTCATTCTGTAAACGCTATATGTTTATAAGTGTGTTAAAAAGTTAAGAATTAGTAAATGTGTGTATAAATATATATGTATTTATATACAGATATAGATATGTGTGTTTATACAATACATATTACATATGTGTTTATATACAGATGTGTGTTTATATATATATATTTATATATATATATATATATATATATATATATATATATATATATATATTAGTATTTCAGACAAAGGTCTGATTCAAACAGACAACGTGGGGGTGGGGGGCAAAAGTAAAGTTTAAAGATTTTTTTTCCATTCTTGGGCTTATCTTGGTGCATGCTCAATAATCCAGGTCGATAAATCTAACAAGGTTAAGCCAGGTCCTCAGGACGTATTCTTCTTTGTTGAAATGTTTCATCTTTTATCCAAAAGACTTCTTGGAGCTGCAAGCAAACTCAGTCGTATAAACAGCACTTTCTCAAAGTGGATCAACCAGTGGGCAGCATGGTGGTGCAATTAGTAGAGCTGCTGCCTCTCAGCGAGAAGGTTGTCGGTTCAAATCCCTGTCCGTGGCCCTTTATGGGTGGAGTTTGCATGTTCTCTCTGTGCATGCGTGGGTTTTCTCCGGGTACTCCGGTTTCCTCCCACAGACCAAAAACATGCATGTTAGACTGAATGGTAACTCTACATTGTCTCTAGGTGTAAGTGAGAGCGTGAATGGTTGTTTGTTTCGTTTGTCTCTATGTGTCCCTGTGATGGACTTGTGACCCGTCCAGGGTGTACCCCGCCCCTCGCACAGTGATTGCTGGACATGGGCACCGGCGACCCCCGTGACCCAAAATGGAAGAACCGGGTAAAAGATGATGGATGGATGGATCAACCAATTTGCTAGTGGTGACAGCCAAAACTCGTTGTTCACATTCAAAAGGAGGACCATCAGTATAACAATTGATCATTAGTGCACTGATGGCCGCTTGCGATTCACAGAAGGCTGAATGATACTTTTTAGTAACTGCAATGATGTTGCTCTTCTGTGCTGGGATGGCGCAGCACAGAAGAGCAACATCATCAAGCTAGGACTCTGTGGTTTCATCTGCAGGCCAGCGGCCACTTTTCAGGGATGAAGATGTTTACATCCTTGATAGAGAGGAACAATGGTTTGAGAGAGGAGTGAAGGAGGCCATCTTTGTGAAGAGAACTCATTCATCGTTAAACAGGGGCGGAGGCCTCCGTGTTCAACTGTCACCTTATAATGCTGTTATTGCAAGTATCACTCAGCCCTCTGTGAATAGCAAACCACCATCAGGGCTCTAGCGATCGATTGTTAGGCTGATGGTCCTTCTTTTGCATGTGAACAACTAGTTTTGGCCCAAAACTGATCAATCTACTTTGAGAAAGTGCTGTTTATAAGACAAGTTTTTGGATAAAAGACAAAACATTTCAACAAAGAAGAATTCTTCCAGAGGACCTGACTAAATCTTATTAGATTCTTAGGCTTGTTTATGTCTGGGCATTTAAATGTTTTTGAAGATGTTTAGATCAGATAAATAGGCTTCAGGAGAAAAAGCAGAACATTAAATTTGTACATCTTGCAATTCTTGCTAACTTATTTTTCTGGCAAAAGTAAAATTGTTGTTTCAAAAGAAACAACTCTGCTGTGGAAACACTTCATATTGATGCAGCATAAGATCAAAGAATAAAAAGTACAACATTGTACAGAACAGATGGTTTGGCATTTTTCATAAACTACTGTACTTTTTTTCTTTAACTTGTAAATGAACTGTACTTAAATAGCACCTTTCTATCTAATGAAGATACTCAAAGCGCTTTGCAACACAATCTATGCCCTTATTTACCTCCACATAAACATTCATACAGCACCCTATTACATCTGTACAAAGCTAATCTGAATCTGTAGAGACTATTCAGTGCATTAGATCACGTGCATACACCGATGTGACACGCATCAGAAGCAATGTGGGGTTGTTCAGTGTTTTGTCCAGGGACACTTCAACATGTGACTGCTGATGGAATCAAACCCCCAACTCTCCCATTTGAAAACACCTGGTCTAACGACTCAGCCACAGCTGCCCGACATTTTGAGCTCAATCTTTAAACTGAACCATTGCTCATTAGAATCCAACCCTTTTTTTTATTAGTCCTTTTCCTAAATGCACCTGGCTTCTCTAGATGTTCATGTGTGAGCTTTTGACACTGATGTTTGGAAAATGTTTGTTTTGACAGCTTTTTTGTGAAGGTAAGATTGTTGCATTTGTCACTGGCAGTAGTGTACTAGAACATTTCACCCTCTCTCCAGAGGGTTTTTAACCCCTTTTTTTGTAGACAAGCAGTGCTGATTGGTTTGAACTTTTAACAATCCTAATTGAATTGTATTTCTAACGTTTTGTGTACTGGTGTTTGTAGTATTCTTTCTTTTTTCTCTTTTATACCTCAAACATCATTGTTGACGTTAACGGCCATTTTTACTAATTTTTTTTTACATTACAGACTGAATTTGTTGAAAGAGATTTTACTAAGATGCATTTTTCTTCATTGGGGGCTCATTCTAATTTGTAAGATGCTGCTCAGAGTTGGCCTTGGCAGAATATGGTTTGTTCAGATTTGAGGGATATTTATAAATTCACTCATGAACTGGGGAAGCACGGTGGCGCAACTGGTAGAGCTGCTGCCTCTCAGCGATCAGGTCCCTGGTTCAAACCCCGGTCCAGGGGCCTTTCTGGGTGGAGTTTACATGTTCTCTCCGTGCATGCGTGGGTTTTCTCTGGGCACTCCGGTTTCCTCCCACAGACCAAAAACATGCATGTTAGGCTGATTGGTAACTCTAAACTGTCCCTAGGTGTGAGTGAGAGAGTGAATGGTTGTTTGTCTCTATGTGGCCCTGTGATGGACTGGAGACCCGTCCAGGGTGTACCCCGCCCCTCGCACAGTGATTGCTGGACATGGGCACCAGCGACCCCCGTGACCCAAAATGGAATAAGCGGGTAAAAGATAATGGATGGATGGACTCATGAACTGGCACAAGTCCTAACAAGCTATTTGAAGGATGAGTCCATCATGTCAGGTTTTCTAACTTGCCTAAACTTGAAAAAAGAGAAATCTTTATAAAACTAACTCAACACAATTTAACTAAAGATGTTTTAAAAAATATCTTGATTTTTTACATTTTTTGTGCCATTTTGGAGCTCAGCACTTGTCTGCTTACTTTCACTGTCACTGTAACATAAGCCTTGCCCAGTTTTTTCATCTTATTGTCAACATGTATTGTGACAATGTTCATCAATGAAAAAATTAAAATGTCTGTTCAGTTTAACTAATAAGATAGGGTTAATAAATTACACCAACATTTTTATTTTATTTTATAGTGCTATAGTTCTGGATTTTGTAATAATTAATAATAATAGTTCATTTATCGTACCAGTTGTGCTTACACTAATCAGAGTAATTAAGGTAATATTGTTCTCATTTAAGGCAGACAATCCAGTCCACACATCGTAACTCTTTGCTCTGATTCTCCTTGTCTTGTCTTTCAGAGTCACCATGGTCATGAAATCAACAGTTGAGGATGATGATACGGGGTGGGTACTGGGCCTCCCAGAAAAGATGAAGAACAATGCCAATTGGGTTGATATTACTCGTGAATTTAAAGGAGCCTGCAAAGGTAATAAAAAGTGAAAAGAAAAGAGGGATACTGGTAGTTTGTCTTGATTTATGTTAATATCAAAAGACCAACACCATCCTTCTGTTCTCCTTGATATTTTCTTAACACAGAGTTGAACCTTGGAGAATTGCTTCATGATAAACTGTGAGTAATAACAAAATGATTTCTAATGCTACATGAGTGTGGCCACCTCTAAACAATAAGTTATGGATAAAATGTAAAATGTCAGATTTGAAGTTTACAGCACTGAAAGACAAAAAATGGTTAAATAACTGGTCCAGATGAAATGATTTAACCTTTATTTTAATTTTATTTTTTTAACTTTTTGTCGTTTTGTAGTTTTGGCCTGTTTGAGGCCATGTCAGCGATAGAGATGATGGATCCAAAGATGGATGCCGGAATGATCGGAAACCAGGTCAACAGGAAAGTGCTCAATTTTGAGCAAGCAATTAAGGTACTGGATATAAACAAAGGCAGAGTTTCATAAATTTACACATCACCCAATCAACATGGCTGTGTTCTTCATATAAAGAAACAAAATAAACCACGTTCTAAGTCATTTATTTTACTGTCTTCTATTCACTGTAGGAATGTGCTATAAAGGTGAAAGACCTTACTCTTCCTGAACTCATTGGGATCATTGACACGTGTTTCTGCTGTTTGGTAAGTTTGATTGTTTATTTTTAATTGATTTTATTAATCAGTTTGCCTTTTTGTTTAATATGATGTGCTTTTTGGTTATGAAACTGCTGCTGAAGTGTCACTTTTAGACACGTCAAACATAACTGAATCACCTCATACTGAGACATTCATATTGATTTTTTTTTTCTGGTTTAGGTGTCTTAATAATTTGTTTCTCATTAAATACCAAGCTGTTTTTCTTTGAAATTGGAGATTAGTTTTAGTTACTTTTAATTTTCCTTTAACAAATCTACAGTAAACCACATACTTATGATGCTGTTGTTCGTTCGTGCTTTTACATGTGTATATTTAGATAACGTGGCTGGAAGGTCACTCTTTGGCTCAGACTGTGTTCACCTGCCTGTATGTTCATAACCCGGACCTGATTGAGGAGCCGTCTCTCAAAGCTTTTGCCCTGGGTTTACTGAAGGTGTGCGACATCGCTAGAGAAAAAGTCAACAAGGCGGCTGTGTTTGAAGAGGTGAGCAGGTTTCTACACATGAGCAGAATAGAAATCTGGTTGAGGTAGACTTACATTTGTCTTTTGGGTCACTCGTGACCAGCACTGTGGTGCATTGAGCTCAGGAGCTGCTCGATGACAAACAGGCTCGGCCATGACTCTGCTCAGCCGCTTCCAGGTGCATATGTTCAGGCTTTCTCAGAAATATAATTTCTTAATGAGCCAATGTTAAAAAACCAGATGTAAGGTTCAAATGCATAGTTTTATTAGCTAAACAAATACAGTTATTATGTCAGAATAGCCTATTTTTAAGAGATACAGTTTTAAAAGGCCATTGATCTCAGTGTTATATTAAATGTTTCAATGATAATTTAAGCTTCATTTTTTTTTTCTGCAGGAGGACTTTCAGGCCATGACTTATGGTTTCAAGATGGCCCATAATGTCACAGACTTGCGGGTGACAGGTCAGCATCATTGCAATAAATACACTGTGGACAAATGAAGCCTCGCTGTTTAAACTGTTGATTCAGGTGAACAGCAAAGTCTATTCTCATCGTTTCCTCTTCCCTGTCTTTCTTTTTGTTTTTCTCTTATCAGGTATGCTAAAAGATGTGGAGGATGAGTTACAGAGGAAAGTTAAGGTGGGTGCTCTCAGTGGTTGAATTTTTGGTGAAACACTGATGATGAAAAGTAATGCTCTGATGAACATCGATTCTTGATTTGTTCTCCCTCAGAGCACACGCAGCCGACAGGGGGAGCAGCGAAACCCAGAGGTTGAGCTGGAAGTAAGTTTGAAAACTTGTATGCGTTGCATATTTAATGCAAATATTAATATGGCTGAATGCTATTACAAACTCTTAAAGGAAAAAAAAAACGATCGCAAAAACTGCTTTCTTTTTTTGTCACGCTAGAATTTTTGTCTTTCTTTTTTTTTATAGTTTCTTGTAAAGCTTTGAAGACTTAAACATCTGTATCTTATTGATGTTGCGTTGTTGTTTTATGTTCTAATGTCCAGCACCAGCAGTGCCTGGCACTTTTTAACAGAATCAAGTTTACACGCCTTCTACTGACTGCTCTGATCGCCTTCACAAAGAAAGAGGTAAGACAAGCGAGATCAGACAGTGTTCAGGTTAGTGGCTGATACACACAGCTCTATACAAACATTTCAGCATGTGTAAGTACCTTTTTAGAAGCATGCAGCTTCTAAATATTAAATCTACGGTATAGTCCAATATTTAAATAGATTTAAATCTGCTGAAGCCTGTAATGTGTATTTCTGTACGCAGAGCTGTGCAAGGGTTAAAAACAATTTTTTATCATTTTCTTCCATGGAGCTAAACCTTTTGTAATCTTTTAAAGTGATCATGTTCGACAGTTCTCCAGATTTCTGAAGTATTTTTGTTTTGAGCCTCTCAGTCCTTGCACCTTATCGTGACAACATATTCTGTAGTATGTTTGAAAAATCAAGAAGGTGGATAAGTGAAGGGAAATAGAAGGAAATGTCAAACCCAAAAAAGTATCTACAGCACATGAATGGTAAATAAAAATATTTTATTTAGCAAATGGAACAAAGTCCAGCAAAGACCTGAGAGGTGCATCATTTTTCAGTCCCTGTATGTCAAGTTTTCAGCTACTAGCCTTTTAGCATCATCTTGGTGCTAATATACTATTTTATGTGTCAAACTGTGTTAGTTTTTATATTTTTCATATATTCAGCTAAAAATGAAATGTGTTTTTGTGACAGATTGCAAGTAATAAAGAACCTAAAAATCATACTTTAGGTTTATTTATTATTATTTATTAACATTTATCCCATTGAGATCATAAATCTCTTGCAGGGTAGGCTCCTGGGTAGGCCCCACTTTTCAGTTTTTTATTTGTTAAAAAAGTTTGACACATCCAATAAATTTCATTCCACTTCATGATTGTGTCCCACTTGTTGTTGATTCGTCACAAAAAAATTAAATTTTATATCTTTATGTTTGAAGCCTGAAATGTGGCAAAAGGTTGAAAAGTTCAAAGGGGCCAAATACTTTCGTAAGGCACGGTATATGCAGGCTCAAGTCAGCTCCTCTCTGAGCAGACAAACACTCTGACCTCACACACCTTCACACACATGGTTCAACATTAACATTAGTTAGTGATAAACATCCATAACCTTTACCTAAATTCCCCTGACAAGTGACTTCACAAACAAATAAATAATACAAAATAAATATAAACATTCCTTTGAGAAAGGTCACTTACTGAACTAAAAACGATTAAAAAAGCAGCCAAAAGAAAATCTTTGAAAGACATGAAAACCTGAAAACTATTAAGACAACTTTTTTTTTTAAAGCATTACGTCTGGATTTTTAGGATCCAAATATATTTATAAAGTGCAGTACAATACTGCACAGTGCTATGTGTATACTACTAACGTGTAAGACACGTTTTATGTTTTGTTGCTCATATTTGTGTTTTGTCTTGTTGTTTTTTTTCAGACCAGTGCAGTAAGTGAGGCCCAGAAACTCGCGGTTCAGGCAACAGATCTGTTGTCGCCCATTCATTCCAGTATTCAGTACGGCATCCAGTCACAAAATGACACCACTAAAGGAGGTAAAACACACATGCATATTATAAACCATAAGGTCAAGCTCATATTTTGAAGCTCAGAGTACAAAGCTACCAATCTTAGGATTACAGCTGCAGATTTTAATTATAGAATAATTTTCTTAAACTATCCCAAACTATCACATATCTGACACTGGATATACACTATACTATAGGGGTTTCTGTGCAGTACACATCTTGTTTGGTTAAGATTATTTTTACTTTGTTCCATTTGACTTGGTTTATTTAAATATGACTCACATTTTATGTTTAGTGTGCTGTTTTTCTTGTGAATCTTGCAGACCACCCCATCATGATGGGCTTTGAGCCTCTTGTTAACCAGAGACTCCTGCCGCCTACATTTCCTCGCTATGCCAAGATAATTAAACGGGAAGACATGGTTGCCTATTTCAGCAAGCTTATAGAACGCATCAAAACAGTGTGTGACATCATCAACACCACAAACCTACATGGCATACTGGTAAACTTTTCACAACACGACTCAATACCCAAAAGAAGATCAAAAGTCTTGTTTTTTATCTGTATGCAATTGTGTTTGTTTAAATTACATAGGTGGAAATATTTTCAGTTTTGCTTTCTGTGTAAAAAATAAACATTTCCAGCATATTTTATATGGTGAAGGCTCTCTGATGCAGACCGAACTTGCTGTTTTTTCAGGATTTCTTCTGTGAGTTCAGCGAGCAGTCTCCCTGTGTGCTCTCCAGGTCGCTTCTTCAGGTTTGTGGCTTTCATACATCGAAAAACTTTTATCTTATTTATCCGCACAGCTAATGTTCATCTAACTCAGGGCTATTCAACAAAACTGCTCAGGGGGCCACAGTTTCTGAAAACCAGCCGCTCAGGGGATATACAGTGATTTAAAGTACTGGTAAACAAATAAACCAAGTAAAAAAGTGTAAATTAACCAAGTTTTACAATGATGTGTTTGTTACCTTTTAAATGTGTTGATTTTATTGCATTGAATCATAAATGCAATAAACAGAACCCAGAACCCCCCCACAAAAAAATTTATGAACTCATTAGTGGGCCAGACTGAAATCACCTGCGAGCTGGAAATGGTCCGCAGGCCGCCAGTTGAATACCCTTGATCTAACTGATACATGTGACCATTCATTTATTCATTTGCATAGAAGATGTTTGATGATTGCTAAGTTTAATGCTGTCACTAAATTAAACAATTTATTTTATTTAAATTCAGACAACGTTCCTGATAGATAATAAAAAAGTGTTTGGCACCCACCTGATGCAGGATATGATTAAAGATGCACTAAGGTACTTTGTTAGCCCACCTGTCCTCTCCTACAAGTAAGTTTACCACAAATTCATTGCATAATAATGATTTTACAATCGCTTTTGAGGTTTTTTATTTATATTTTATTGTTGTTGTTTTCAATTTTTTGAGCATCTTATGTGTTTTTGTGTCCAGATGTTGTCTGTTCAACAACCACCAGGCCAAGGACTACATTGACTCCTTCGTCACTCACTGCTCCAGGGTTTGTTACCTTTACTCTTCAACAGATTTAGAGAATTTTAGAACCTATTGTTTTGTTTGCAACTTTCTGAAGTTGCTCTAACTTCAGTATAAAGTTTTTTGTATTTTTGTTTTGCTCATATTGAAGTTATTGTTAGCTGTTTGTTGTGAGATGTGATCATATTACCTCATCTTTGCAGCTTTGTTAATTGTTTCTTTATGTGTGCGCAGCCTTTCTGCAACCTCATCCAGATCCACGGACACAACCGAGCCCGACAGAGAGATAAACTGGGGCACATTCTAGAGGAGTTCGCATCACTGCAGGATGAGGTGAGATTCAGCTATTCTCACCACAAATTAGTGAAAACCAGATTAGAGGTTTTGTTTAATATTCCCTGCACTGCAGCGTTTGTATGTGGTGTTCCTTCACTTATACCTACAGTAATGCTGAGCTAATCGTTTGGTAACCATCTAATGGTGATGTTTGTGTCCTCTGCAGGCTGAGAAGGTAGATGCAGCTTTGCACAGTTTACTGATGAAACTTGAGCCTCAGCGACAGCATCTAGCCTGCCTTGGCACTTGGATCCTCTACCATAATCTGAGGATCATGATCCAGTATCTTTTGAGCGGTTTTGAACTGGAGCTTTACAGCATGCATGAATACTATTACATCTACTGGTAAAATCACATTTTATGTATTTATTTTCTTCTTGTTTTTTAACTGGTTTTGCTGGACGCATCAAACACAAGTCTAAATCTCCCTCCCTTGTATTTGTTTCAGGTACCTGTCAGAGTTTCTTTATGCATGGCTGATGTCAACTCTAAGCAGAGCCGACTCCTCTCAGATGGCAGAAGAGCGCATTTTGGAGGAGCAGCTGAAAGGCCGCAGCAGCAAAAAGGCCAAAAAGAAGAAGAAAGGTGCATTTGTGATTAACGTTTGAATCTCAATATCCTTTGAAATAATCCAAGTGGAAGTGAGAGTCAAATTTATGTTTTTGGCCTTCAAGCAGATACTGATACGTTTGAGGTTATTTTTCAGTTCGTCCTCTCAACAAGGAGATCACCATGAGTCAAGCGTACCAGAACATGTGTGCTGGCATGTATAAGGTAAGCAACCCGTATTAATTTATTATCACCCCTTTTTAGTATACTGAGGCATAATTTATCCTCTCCTGATCTCAGACCATGGTAGCTCTGGATATGGACGGGAAGGTGCGGAAGCCTCAGTTTGAACTCGACAGTGAACAAGTTCGCTACGAGCATCGCTTCGCCCCCTTCAATAGTGTTGTCACTCCCCCGCCTGTGCACTACATCCAGTTCAAGGTACTGTTTGCTTCCAGTAGAACCTTCTTGTTTCTTGGTGTTTCTAATCCTTAACATTTTATTTTATTTTTATTATTTTTTTTACCGTCTGCTCTGATTGCTGCTCCTCTTCCCTGTTTCAGGAGATGTCGGACCTGAAGAAGTACAACCCTCCACCCGGCTCTGCAGATCTCTACCTGGCAGCTAGCAAACACTTTCAGCAGGCGAAGCTCATCCTAGAAAATATGCACAGCCCCGACCCTGAGGTCAGGAAGTGAAACGTTCTAACTTGTGTCTTTCTCTTACAACATTGTGATGTTTTGTAAATCCAAGAATCTTAATTATTTAGTTTCTATATAAATATTTTTGTTTGAAATAGTTTTGACAATGTAGTTAAAACGCTAATTTGTCAAAAGTAGTGCTTTTAAAGTTAGGCCTGTCGCAATAAACAATTAATCACATGATAAATTAAAATTATCATCCTCATTTTCATTTATCAGCTTTATCGTTTCTTCATGTCTCTCTTTCTACTGAAGACACTGGATGACAAAAGGCTCAACTCCGGTGCTCTTCACTGACCCCTCCCTTTCTCTTTTCTCTTGAAAATCCGTTTTAACCGTCCAAAATCACATTTTTGGATCGTTAAAATCAGCTAAGCTGAGAAGCTAAGCTATGAGCTAAGTTAACAGGCCGACCTCGGGAAAAAACCTCCGTCTTGTCGAAGCTCCAAAATTCCCGGTTGAAACCCGTGCCTTTGTGTAAAAAGTTTTTCTTTGCAAAAAGAAGCTGAGAACTTGTTTACTGATTTTTTTATTAAAGGCTTCGTGTGAAAAATGCAATGCTAAAGAACTCAAACCACACCAAGCGTCCGCCATTTTGAGAACCGAAAAGAGACAGCCCATGTCATGTCAAGGGGCTTCCCTCCCATTTTTCTTAAAGAGACACGCTGCTCGCTCCCTTACTATCCATCCTTCGGTTCAAACTGTTTCGTACTGCCATCCGGTGGTTGGAATAAAAAGGTATAACAGGCGAAACAAATGAGCAAACATTTCTTCTTAAATTTGACAATAATTACCAGTACTCATTATTGTCAAATTTCAAACAATATTATCGTTATTATCGATAATATTGTTTATCTCAATAATTTCTGAGACGATTAATCACCCAGCAAAATTTGTTATTGTGACAGGCCTATTTAAAATATGAAATATATCTCTATGAATATAAAGAGAGACCCTTGAAGTAATATAAGCCCAATTCAAGAAAACTATTTAAAGATTTAAAAAATGACTATCATAAAACATCTGATGAATCAGAATCAAAGTTTCAGCCTGCCTCAGCAATGCCAAACCACCACCTTCCAACATCAGTAGAGAGGAGAGGGATGCACTCACCACTCTGAGCAAGGACAAAAACATCATCATTCTCCCAGCAGACAAAGGAAGGTGCACAGTGATTTTGAACCAGAAAGACTATCATGAGAAAGTTATGACACTCCTTAGTGACTTAACCACTTATGAACCTCTGAAAAGAGATCCAGGAAGTGGTTACAAGAAGAAGTTAATAGATTGCCTGAAAATTTTGGAGCAAGACAAGGCTATTGACCGCTTTCTGTACCACAGACTGTACCCAGGGGAGGCCACACCTAGTCTGTATGGTTTACCTAAAATCCACAAACAAGGTGTACCTTTAAGACCTATTGTTAGCATGATTAACTCTGTCACTTACAATGTTTCCAAATATCTGGCGTCTGTACTCATCCCTTTAGTTGGCAGCTCAGAACACCACATACAGAACACCATGGACTTTGTGGATAAGGTGAGGGATGTCACCATGGAGACTGATGAAACAATGGTCTCTTTTGATGTCACATCACTCTTTACGTGCATTCCTGTTGATGATGCAGTAGAGGTGGTCAGTTTAAAATTAACATCAGATACCACTCTGAGCAGCAGGACCACACTTTCTACAGAACAACTGTGTCAACTCTTGAAACTGTGCCTGCAGTCAACCTACTTCACACATGGGGAGCAATATTATAGGCAGAAACATGGGTGTGCTATGGGGTCTCCAGTTTCTCCTATTGTTGCCAACCTGTACATGGAGGAGGTAGAAAAGAGAGCCTTGACGTCCTTTTCAGGGACACCACCAAGTCATTGGTTCAGGTATGTTGACGACACCTGGGTTAAAATTAAATCTCAGGAAGTCCAACATTTTACTGACCACATCAACTCTGTGGATAAATACATCAAGTTCACACGAGAAGATGTAAAAAATGGCAGGTTGGCTTTCTTGGACTGTGAGGTCTCAGTCTCTGATAGAGGACATTTGCAAACTGAGGTGTACCGCAAACCCACGCACACAGACCAGTATTTGCAGTTTGACTCCCATCACCCTTTGGAGCACAAGTTAGGAGTCATCAGGACTCTGTATCACAGAGCAGACTGCGTCCCCACTAGCTCAGGAGCCAGGCAGAAGGAGAAATCCCACACAAGACAGGCTCTAGAGCAATGTGGATATCCTAACTGGGCCTTCCTGAAAGCAGAGAAGAAACCCAAACAAGACTCCAGTCAGCCAACAGGTGAAAAGGAGGAACCCAGACCCAGACCAGTGGTCATTCCATATGTTGAGGGAGTATCAGAGAAACTGAGACGTTTATTTTCTAAACATAACGTCCCAGTGGCTTTTAAACCCCAAAATACATTACGGCAAAGACTGGTTCATCCCAAAGATCCAGTCCCCCGGCACAAACAGAGCAATGTTGTGTATGCTGTTCAGTGTCAGGAGGGCTGTGATCAGTCTTACATCGGGGAAACTAAACAGCCACTGGCCAAAAGGATGGCCCAGCACAGAAGATCAACATCATCAGGCCAGGACTCTGCGGTCTACACTCATCTCCAGGCCAGCGGTCACTCTTTCAGGGATGAAGATGTTCACATCCTGGACAGAGAGGAACGATGGTTTGAGAGAGGAGTAAAGGAGGCCATCTTTGTGAAAAGAAATCGTCCATCATTAAACAGGGGTGGAGGCCTCCGGGTTCAACTGTCCCCCTCTTACAATGCTGTGATTGCTAGTATCACTCAACCCCCTGTGAACAGTAAACAGCCATCAGTGTGCTAATGATCCATTGTTATGCTGATGGTCCTTCTTGAGCATGTGATCAGCTGGTTTTGGTTGTCAGCAGCAAAACTGGTTGATCCACCCTGAGACGGTGCTATTTAAGAGACTGAGCTGAATACAGCTCCTCAGACTGAGGAAGTCTCTCGGATGAGAGACGAAACGTTTCTACAATTTTTTTGTTGATTTGCTTTGTTTTGTTTTTTTGAATGTCCAGAGGACCAGATTTAACTTTTTTTAGATTTTTCTACCTGGATTATTGAGCATGCATCAGGAAAACATCTGATGGATTTAAAATAGTGCTAAATAATAATAATCCGTAATTGACTCCTAACTTTTTCTAAACCTTTGTTGTTTTTAACGCATGTAATGATAGAGACAAATTCAGCCACCGTAATTACATACCAATATATAACTCCACAATACTGTTTTCTTGCTCCCTTTTCATGGCTCTTGACAGTCAATAACAAGGTATTGATTATTAATTACAGATGAACCGCATACTGAAGGTGGCCAAACCTAACATTGTAGTTATGAAGCTCCTGGCTGGAGGTCACAAGAAGGAAACCAAGGTGACACAACACCCTGCATGAATTCAAGTTTTATTAGCTTCAGTGGTTACGTGTAATGTGTTTGAACACAATGCTTCTAATTGTAGTTTTATATTGTTAGTACTTTTTTCGTGTAAAGTTGTTTATTTTCCTGCATTCTCAGGTGCTGCCAGAGTTCGACTTCTCCGCTCACAAGTATTTCCCTATTGTGAAGATCATCTGATTCCTCTCGTATCCTCCAGATGGTTGATTCCCTCACACAAATAAAGTGTGTGGTGGTTCTCACCCTGTCAGTATCTGAACATTGCTTTACAACATGTAAAGGAGTATCTGAAACTTGTGTTTATTTTCACATAAAACCAGGCAAGAAAGCACAGCTGGACTTGAATAAGAAACAATATCCACAGATGCATTAGTGGAAGTTTGAGTGTGTTTATGTGGATTTTACTTTCATAACAGTCGTGTAATGAGTGTTTTGATGATGGATGCACAAAATTAAACCATACAAAACCTTTATTTATGACTGGTTTTATTTTAATAGCAATGTTGCATTTGAAATTAACCATAGTAAGGCTGGTGGACTTTCAAATACTAGACTGAAGTGAATATTAGACATCACAGTGACAGTGCAACTTATCAAGAAAGTTCTCTCAGAGTGGTCATGGCTTTAACCCCAGCTCAAACATTTGTCAGGTGTTCGTTACAAGCCAGCAAAGTTTTATTTGCAGTACTGTAATTGAGGTTTTTAAGTGTAAAACATGAGTGTGTGGTGTTCTGACTGTGGGACACGTTTTTAAAGAGCGAGAAACTAAAGTTTGCTGTTAAATTGTAATATTAATCATGCTTTCTTAACTATTAGGCAGGGTGTCCGTGCATCCTTAAAAAGTCTTAAATTCATGTATCCAAAAATAAGTCCTTAAAATGTTTTAAATTAATTTTTTTAATGTGTAAGTTTGTCTTAAATACCTTACTCAAAGGTCTTAAAATTTGACGGCTCAGGAAGGATCAGGAGATCTGCGTCACCACGACAGATTTTTGTTATCTTCAAAAATGAGAATGACGTTGTTCTTGATGGTGCAGGTTAAAGTCAAAACTTATTAGAGAACATGTACTTTTACTAAGGTCGTACTTAATGTTTAATTTTGTACTACTAGTGCTTAGTGTATTCTTCATAGTATTTCTTAGTTCATATCTTAGCTCTTATTACTGTTTTTATTTACAATTTATACTTTTGTTGGATGTAATTGGGACCCCGTGTACACAATTTTGTTCCACCACATGTACCATGTGATGTGAATGACAAATAGAGAAATTTTGACATTTGACTTTGTACACATGATGTGTACTTAAGGTCATGTACTTACTATACTCCACTTTATGTGAAAACCTTTGAGAATTGACCTGTATGCTGGAAAAAGTCGAGTAAATAAAGCACATTTAAAACAGCAGATGTTACCAAAGTGCTTAATAAAATCAAGGCAGTAAATTAAAGAAAGAGAATAATAAGGTGTAATTAAAAGCATCAAAATGCAAACGTAACACAAAAACAATGAGAATCAATGAAATACTGAATCATATCGTACGGTGTTAAACGTCAGTGACTACAGGTATGTTTTTAGGAGAGATTTAAGAGCAGGAAGTGAACCTGGGCCTGCCTAATGTTGAGAGACAGATTGTTCCAGAGTTTAGGACCAATGACTGAAAAAGCCTGATCTCTGGGCTTCAACCTGGATTTTGGTACAACCAAAAGCAGCTGGTCAGATGATCTCAGTGCCCGAGAAGGACCATGGTTAAAGTAGGTCAGAGAGGTATGAGGGTGCAAGACCGTTTATGCACTTAAAAGGTCAACAGGAGAATTTTACAATCGGCTCTGAAATACACAGGGAGCCAGTGCAGGGAGGACAAAACTGGTGAAATATGCTCAAACCTACAAGTTCCTATTAATAGCCGAGCTGCAGCATTTTGGACAAGCTGGAGACATGAAAGGGACACCTGACTGACTCCAACATGCACTCTCAAAAGCTCTTGAATGTGTGTTATTGATGTGTGTGTGGGGGGGGGGGGGGGGTGTTGATGATTTAAATCAACCTTTTCCCTGGGACTATTGAATCTCGTTGCCTATGAATTTTTCTTTCCGTCAGGCAAAAGTACATTGAGTCACGCACAGTTCCTTCTGCATTTTCTTTTATCCAGTCTATGGTTCAAACCAAATGACTCAAGGTGACTGAGACTACTTCCTACTAGCTGCTGATTTATACACTTGCTAGCTATTCTGCAAAATCATGTGTTGTCAATCATACTTTGTCAGTCTAGACTTCCAGTCCAGATTGACGTTCTGTATATTATTCCAGGCACTTGGTTACAGCATTCCATGTAAGCTTTGCCAGGCTGTATCTTATGTCCTGTTATGATGTGTTGGACTGCCTCATGGGGCATCTTTGCACAGCCTGCATCTTTGAGTCTTGTCTGGTATGGTAGATCCCTGGCCTCGGTTTCTCTTGTGTTGAGGGGCTGTTCTTGTGTTGCTATGGCCTCTGTGCTGTCCATCAGTCCAGCCACTGATAAAATATGTTGATATCAGCTACTTCCCCAGTCTGCCGGTGGAACATGCAGACGATTATCTTTCCATGATGGCTCCTCTCGTTTCTCCTCTTCTACTTTGAGTTTCTGCTGCTGACAGACATTCACTCCAGTTAATCATTGGGCTTTCCTCTTGATGTACTCCAGGATCGTATTTCTTTCATCCTGTATAGTGGCTCTGATGTTCACTTGTCCTCTTACTCCTTTCTCTATTGTGTAGTCTCAGGATGCTGGGATCTGGGTGAAACCCTCCATTCATTGTGAGGAGCTTTCGTGTCTTGATGTCAGTGGCTTCTATCGCCTCCTTTGGCCCGGGTATTATACCAGCTGAGTAGCTGATGACTGGCACTACATACATGTTGAAGACTTGAACTTTGTTTGCATCATTCAGTTGGCTCTTCAGAACCTGGCTTAGTCTCTGTCAGTACTTAGTTGTGTCCGACTTCTTTGCAGCCTGTTATTGAACTTGTTTCTTTTACTGCATTTTTTTTAAACAGCTAATTTGTAATCATCAAAACTTACCAGGAAATTAGCATTTTAATGACCTGCTGTCAAATAAATTTTAAGGTCACTGATATGTAACACATCCTTTTCTCAGTCAGTCCCAATAAGAAAACCTTCCAGGGAGAAAGCTGAGGCTTTGTTGAAGATGTTGTTGAGTCTCAGAGGAGACCAGAGCTGCAGAGCTCCCTGCTGGCAGAGTTTTATCACAGCAACCTCTTGGTTCTTGGATTTCACAGCCTGTAACTCAACAAGGGTCTGCACATAACTCAGTTCACAGCTGTTATTGAGTGGACGTAACGTGTCAACACATCATCAAAATCTTCTAATTTTCAGCCATGTTTAGGTCTTCTATTTTTAAAGCCAAACAATATCAAGTTTCAAGATTTTCTTTTAGTGTCATTTGCAATTTCCCAAGAGAAATGCACAGTTGATGAGAAAGTTAAGTGAAATGCAATTAAGCCTTCCAGTAAGAACATCAACAAGATAAAAAATTGTCCCCCATACTGTTTTCATTCTGTTTTCCCAGCGTATTTTCTTGCTGCGGGTTGCAGAGTTGTGGTGCACAACTGCTTCGATACTGATGTGGAAAAAATGTTGGCCCAAGGTTGTAAGGGACTCTCAGCACAGTTTGATTTGTTAGCCTGTTTCCAATTGAGCTCATTGCTCACTCACCACTACAGCATTACATATTGTTACATTTTCCATACTTGATTAATAGCACATCGTTACTACAGTAATCATGGCAGAAAGCAAACCGTAACTAGCAAATTAAATGCTCCTGAACAACAGATGATTGTTGCTTCACAATCATATCAGTCCATTCATGTTTTGAGGCTCTGCCAATGTATTTTTTAATCATTTGATCTTTCTTTTAGTGTGTCATGGTGGAAAATGATTTAAGTCAAAGAGCAAAGCTCTGGTTTATCCCAACCCTTACATGTGCGCATGACATATGGATAGTGACAGAAAGGACAAGATCGTCAATACAGAGTGAAATGGACATTTTCTTTAGGGTAGTCAGGCTTCGAGAGAAAGTGAGGAGCTCCGTCAAATGGGGGGAGCTTGGAGTAGAGTCGCCACTCGCCCACATCAAAAGGAGTAAGCTGAGGTAGTTTGGACATCTGATCCCTCCCAAACCCAACTGTAGGGAGAATCAGAATCAACTTTATTGTCATTGCACAGTTAAGTACAGCGAAATTACGTTTCGTACAGCTGTCCGAAGGGTAGACTGAAGTGTACCGTGGCTGCATCTTCTATGAAGCACTGCCCTTATTGCTTAGATAAGAAAAGGGTAAGAAAACATGAAGAGAGAAGGTATAAAAAACAAAGATCTCTTACACCGTGTCCTTGTACACAGGGCACAGTGTAAGGCAGCAAAATAAACTACCTCAGCACAATCAACATAGATAGACATAATACATTTTGCAGGGTGGGGGGGGACGACAAGATGGTGAGATTGTCCATGAACACTTTCAGATAGTTCCATAGTCCTGATAAAGATGTTCCAGTGTCTATCAGCTGGTACAACTCTGATAGGGTCCACAGATGTTCTCAGGAGGGCGAAGCAGGAGCAGAGTTTCTTGATTTACGTTTCCACTAGGAGCAATTTGAAATAAACTGGCCTATCCAAGGCCAGCGGGGAGGCCTTGGCACTTGTATTTAATGATTTTACAATTGCATATAAAACACATTAACAGAACACAGGTTAATGTGTTCAGTGTTAAAACAACCTCTGGCCTTGGAATGCTTCTGGAGGGTGTTTCTGAGCTTTTCTTCACAATACAACTTTAGACTGGATGAAACTGAATGGATGAACATCAAAAGTTTTTTTATAGGAGTTTTGTTCAACTCTTCAGAAGTACTATTCTGTTACTCTAACACAGAACACAGCTATTCTCTACATAATTATCAGCTTTATCAGGAGTTTCTCCTCTATAGTCGTGGTTGTGTATCGCGCCCTGCTGATGGAGAAAGTAACCGTCTCACATCAGTTTCTGTCAAGTTGGACAAAATTACACAAACCTTAGGAAAAAAGTCACAAAAGCAAGAATCAAATTAAAGCAAACTTTATTTATAAAGCACGTTTCATGCACAAAGCAACCCAATGTGGTTTCCGTCAAGAACTTCAAATCTAGAAGAACTGTGTTAAACACAGTCATAAACATGCAAACATATTCAACACATAAAACCAGTTTAACATGTACAATTTATTTTGAATTTATTTTGTTAACAAAGAATAGAGTCCTTACATTTATTAAACATTACTTCTATAAATTGTGCTTTGACAAACTTATCGATAAAACTAAAACATTTTGTCAACGCAAAAGAGGAAAAAGGAGGCAGGTGTCGCTCTCGCTCGAGTTTATTCTTTGTTGCACGCGCGCTGTGAGTGACGTCCAGAGCTCGTGGACATAAAAACAGCAGCGGAGGACAGAGGAGGTGACGGTCCGAGTTTATTTATCATGTTGGCAGCAGAGAGGAGAGACATGGTTCATGCATGGCTCCCAAAACCACAAGGCAGCCATATTTGTTCATACCTTTATTATTAGGAACGCACGCGACAAAATGAAAATGGTGAAACAAAAAAACTGGCCAAAAAAAGCATGTTTTCTAGGGTCACATGCGCCCCACTGTTTGAGAAGGACTGCCTTAAAGCAACACAATTAAATCAGATGGGAGGAAACTGAGTGTAAAGATGAAAAAAGTGTTGAAGATCAACTCACGTCAAACACTGAGGAAAACAGGGTGTGGTGTTTGTGTGCTTTAAAAGGTTGTTTGACAGGTCAGCTCAGTCTCCACAACTTATTTAGTTTTTGACTTCGAAACAATTCTGCTGTTTTATATGAAATAGAATGCTGATGTGTTATAAAAAGATGTGTATGTAATTTACAGAGTACAAATATTTGCTTTTATTTTTACAAATATATTTTAAATTAAATTTACAAAGAGCAAATCCAAAAACTTTATTTTCTCAGGTTAATGAAGGCAGATTTGAGTCTTTCAAAGGCTAAATTAGATGCACCAAATTAAATCAATATAAAGTTGATAAAATCAATAAAATTCAAAACATTTTCCCTCTCATTTGTATTTCAAAACAAGACGACTTTTTACACGGGAATACAAAGCTTTCTGACAAAACAGTTGTCTGGGTTTTTTTCCTTGACAGGTCATACAAAAATAATCATAAGTGCAAAAACATGTAAATAATTTTTTTTTTTAAATGTGGCGATGCAGACAACTGTTCCAACTTAAATTTTAATTGTTCAGCATGACTCATTTTACAATATCTGACTTACTCTAAATTGAATGGTTGGTGTCCCCCACCTCTCACACAGTGACTGCTGCATGGGCACCAGTGACCCCCGCGACCCGACAAGGAAAAAACAAGTAAAGATAATGGAAGAATGGATAATAATAATTTTAAAACCATTAGGTTCAAAAGAAAAATCAATGTCTTACTGAGACAACAAATGAAGTTTAACTTTTGATGGAAATGTTTGGCAAAAAGATCCCCCCCCCCCCACACACACACACACACACACACACAACTCCCCCATGAAACCTGAGCTGCTCCCTGCTACAGTCTAGTCACAGCCATTGCTCAGATCTTTTAGACCTGTGCTTCAGTATTTCCCAGCCTGTAACCCAACAAGAGTCTTCACATAACTCAGCTCACAGCTGCTTCTGAGTGAACATAACACGAGTCAACACTTCATCAAATTCTTCTCATTTTGATGATGTTGAGGCGTTTTACTTTTTAAAGCCAAACGGTGCCAAGTTTCAAGATGTGTTTAGTCATGTTTGCAATCCTCTAGAGGACTGAACAATGGAGACAAAGCAAGAAAACTATAAATAACAGACTTTTCCGTAAGCATTCAGGGGAGTTTTGCTAGGCAAGTTTCAGTACTTTGTAGTTTGATACTGTGGACTGAAATCATTCGTGTGGAGGTGAGCACATTCTGACAGCAGGCCAAAAACGTGCGATTATTCATGCACACTTTCACACATTTGTTTTGATACATCCCGACATGTGCGAGGAACCTGACATGTATATTTTTCTGCATATACACACATGAGGCCCCTGGTGTTCAGTCTGTTAGGCTCAGAGGATGACTGCAGGTGGAGACGAAAACAGAACATCCTGTTTTCACCTGTCAGGTTAAAGGCTCCTGATTGGTTGATGAATGTTTGTGTTTCAGAACAGAGCGGACTTGTGTCTACTGCTGGAGGAAAGCAGACAAGACCTGATTCACTTGTCACTCATCAAGTCCCACCCTCTGCACCAACACAAATTGGTTTAGTTTAGTTTTCACTATAAAAGCAAGGGAAGGCAGCTTTACTTGTACTGTATAGCACGTTTCAGCAACCGGGCAACTCAAACTGCTTTGCATAGTTAAAAATTAAACCATCCATCCATTATCTTTACCCGTTTATTCCATTTTGGGTCACGGGGGTCGCTGGTGCCCATGTCCAGCAATCACTGTGCGAGGGGCGGGGTACACCCTGGACGGGTCGCAAGTCCATCACAGGGCCACATAGAGACAAACGAGACAAACAACCATTCACTCTCTCACTCACACCTAGGGACAATTTAGAGTTACCAATCAGCCTAACATGCATGTTTTTGGTCTGTGGGAGGAAACCGGAGCACCCGGAGAAAACCCACGCATGCACGGAGAGAACATGCAAACTCCACCCAGAAAGGCCCCTGGACCGGGGTTTGAACCAAGGACCTTCTCGCTGAGAGGCAGCAGCTCTACCAGTTGCGCCACCGTGCTGCCCTAAAAATTAAACCACTGAATTAAAATTTCAAAGCAAGCTCGATTGAGAGCTGGAAATAAATATAAATTATAAAGTCATACAGAAACAGCATACCAATTTTTTTGCCTTAAAAAACCAGCATGGGGCTTCAGGGTCACATTATTTGAAATGACCTCCACGGGGCGTTCAGGGTTACCCTATCGTCAGCAGAAATTTTAAGAATTCACTCCTATAACAACAGCTGCTGACTGTCACACATTTGAGTAAAACTATATTTGTGTTCTGTGAGATCACATTTGGATTTTCACACTAATAACAACAAATATCTGTTTTTACATATAAAAAGCACCTTAAAGCACCTGTAGATTGGATTCATACAGTTAGGTCACTTGCTGCTTCGTGCCTCACGGTTTTTATTTTTCCTTTGTTTGTTTTCTTCTTTCGGCTGCTCCCTTCTTCTGGGGTCACCACAGCAAACTAACTTGCACAAAGACTTGGCATTTGTTTTTATGTTGGATGTCCTTCCTGATGCAACCAGGCCACCAAGTGGAGTAGAGAGCTGCCATAGGGTGCCCAGTGGAGCAGATGGTGGGGGTTACGTGTCTTGAAATGAGAACAAAATGTTTGGTTTGTCAATTCTGGCAGGAAGTTTTTTTTCTCCAAACTTTAATTAATCTGCTTGTGAACATTTAATTAACAGTTTCCAAAGCCAGTTACATCCTTCTAGGAGTTATTCTGTGTTGATGAATGTTATTGGCTGCTAACTTTGTGACTCTGAAGCAACTCCCTGGCTGTGCATCTCTTTGTGTAAACAGTCTGGCCTATCAGACAGCCTGAGGGGGAGGGGCTTGTGTCTGCTGCGTAGGCGCCGGCGGCAGAGGCGAATCCCAGTGACGATGGAGACAATGAGCGCACTGGCCAGCAGGGCGGTGCCACTGAGGAAGAAGCTGGCTGTGTAATTTCCGGTGACATCAACCAGCCAACCTGTTGGGGGAGAAGAGGGAGGTGTGACAAGTCATCATTTGATTTCACTATGACGTTATAAAGCATCACTGGCAAAGTTAATTTCCCTCACCTCCAATTGGTGGGCTCACCAGGTATGGGATGGCGTGCAAAAAGAAGACCACGCCCAACGCTGAGGACAGGCAACCAACTCCGACCACGTCTGACATCACCACGGGAATCAGTGCCACATAGGCGCCATCAAAGTAACCGTAGAGCACGGCGAACGGCACAAGGAGTGGGAAGGAAGTGAGCAGTGGTGTGAAGAGGCAGCAAAGACCCTCCATCGCCACGGAAAATGTGTAACAGGTTAGACGGTGTGTCTTCAAACACCTGAGGAACAAACAGGAAGTCAGCTTCAAACACGTGAAAGAGACAGGAAGTCAGCCTTAAACACCTGAGAGACAGACCGGAAGTAAGTTTTAAACACCCAAAAAATAAACTGGAAGTCAGTTTAAACACATGAAAGACAGACAGGAAGTCAGATTAAACAACCAAGAGATAGACAAGAAGTCAGCTTCCAACAGGTGAGGGACAGACAGAATGTCACATAAACACTTAAGAGACAGAAAGGATTTCATCTTTAAACACCTGAGGGACAGACCGCTTTAAACAGCTGAGAGAGAGACATGAAGTTTGCTTCACAGAAACACCTGATATAACACAGGAGGTGAGTTTATAAGCACAGGTGAGTTTTGTGTTTCTGTTACTGCTTTAAGTCAAATTGTAGTTCTGATGGTCTCCAGCTTTGTTTAAAGGATCTATTGAAGTTTAAAACAAGTTACCGGTAATCAATGGTTGTAACAATGAGCTTTACCTGACACCGGATAAATAGAGAAGAAAGGACCTGAGAACCAGTCGTTCTCATATTCTAGTTGTTGTTCAAACTTGTTAATGTGAGACGTTAAAACTTTAAACCTAAAACCATGACCGAAGCTCTGCAGCTCTGAACTCACTGGGCTTGACTCTGTTTTAACATGAACTCTGAAGCATCAAGGTGTGGGTTAGCACAACACCAAGATGGAAATACATCAGCAATGACTCAGAGAAGCAATTGTTTCAGCACATCAAATTGTGACGAGTTAAAGGTGATAAAGGCTGTTTCTATTCTATTCTCTAAATATCTGGAGTCCATCTTTTAACAGACAGGAAGATTATTCACAGGTGGGAAACATGTAAGACAGCTCACAAGTTTCCTAGCCAATGCACCTCAAAGTTCAGACCACGCAATGCTCAGAGAAATGAGCTCCATTTCAAACTCTGCAGGCCTCAGTTAGAAGGTTAAAGGTCAAAGGTCATGGCCTTTTCTTTCAAAAACAACATGGCAGCATAACTAAGGTTGGGAAATTTTAATCTAGAGGAAACACAAGACATTTGGGACAAAACCAGACCAAAAGGCTGATGTTTACCCAGAATGCACTGCAGCAAACACCTCATCTCGGATGTCAACACAATGGTGGAGGGCTGATGGTTTGGGCTCCTTGCAGTCACTGAGTGGACCTCTGTAGAACAAAGGGTTCCAGAGTCGTTGAGGATATTTGATATTTTGAACATGGTTGCTAATGTGTCTTAAATAAAAATGTTATGACCATATTATATGGTCGTAACATTTTTATTATATATATATATA